TTGATCGGTCAAATATGATTCGGCCAATTGACCGATATGTGACCGGTCATATATGGTCAAATTCAATTTTTAAGTATAATTGTAAAAAATGAATTTATGAAATATTAAATTATATTCTTTTAAATTCTATAATGAATGTTTTGCTCTCCGCGGCAGAGTCTTGTTCTGATTTGTATTCAGTATTATCATCTTCTTTAATATATTTAATCAATCGTTGGTTATAATATACTCTTACCAATTTTATTGTAGTTGAGATCTTCAATTGATTTCTTTTCTTCATATAAATATTACCACAAACCGACCAATTTCTTTCTGAAAAAGAAATATAACTAGGAGGTGGTAGTGAGATATTGGACACTTCTCCTAATGTTCAACGTGGGCAAAACTCATTCAAACAACTTGAGGCCTAATCTGATTGTTATTCGCCGCTTTTACCTCTGAAATTTATGATATCACTTAAAATATTTTAACTACACCATCTTATAAAATGCTTAATTCTTGTATCATATATATCACATGCCTCATCAAACTCACTATTAGTATGATGTTCTCCTTATACTGGGGATCCAATAAATAATCATCATTGTGGTGAGCACATGTATTTGGATTATTCTTTTTTTCAAACATATCTTTAATTTTTTTTCTTCAGGCGGTATGTGTTTTCTAAATTAAGCATCTCGTTTTTTATGTGGGCCAAAATACATTTATCCCTTTGCACTTACAACAAAAAGATAGTTAAATGTTAAAGAATAGTGTAAAATTTAACATTTTTCGTCCAAAGCATTTCTTCATTTAATATATTATTGGTAATTTCTTTCCGAGAAATAGAGCTTTTATTTCGTATTTGCTCCTTACATATTGTTTGGATAATTATTGTAAAATAAATTGACAATTAGTAATTTTCTCAAACAATGCTTTAGCAAAAATATTATATTTAATTATATATTGAGATCCAATCAAATTAATAATGAGAAAAATTATTTTATTTTATTTATATTTTTATTTATATTTTTATTTATATTTATATTTATATTTATATTTATATTTTTATTTATATTTATATTTATATTTTTATTTATATTTATATTTTTATTTATATTTTTATTTTTATTGTTATATTTTAAAATAAAATGTTTTAATATGAAATTCTTATATTTTAATATACAATTATAATGAAATCGATGCTTTGATGATACAAATATATTTTTAAATAAATTTTAACCTAATTAAATTGATAAACATGCGTTAATTATATATTATTTAATTAAATCAATATTTATTCACCAATAATATTTTAGAGTATTTGAACGTTGACAAATACTCCTTCGGTCAATTGGCCGACTTGACCCTGCGTTTCACATAAATCATCAATTTAGATTTAAAAATTGTGAGAGATGTTAAGGACGCAAGAAGAAACTTTAATCAAGAAACATTGTGAAATTATAATGAGATCAGAAATCAAAACGATAAATAAAGGGAAAACACAATAAGTTTGTATCTAATTTTTTTTAAAAAATAGCTGAATTTACCTAAATAAAGCTTAACAATGTGATAATAATTCTAGGTGGACTGGTTTAGCATTTCTCCATCATAAATGGGAAATCGACGGTTTATATAGATATAAAGCTGTTAATATGAAAATTTAACTATTTGATTATAAATAAATTTATGGATGACACGTTTGGCGTCTGTTCAAAATATTCAATACTATTGTAGATTTTAGTGGTTAGCCATTGTGTTAATTCTTATTTCTATATTTTTGTATAAAATGGAATATTCTCTTAATTTATTGAACCACTGTGACTTAAGTCAAAATATACATATTTTAATACTTTTAACAACATCCATCTATATAAAAAACAAATTAATTATTAAGAGGAAATCGTTAGATAGAACGGGGGAAGATCAGTTATAAGTAAGGCATCTATAGGCGCATTCCGTTCCAGATAAAGAGTGTTGAAACGAGCTTCCTGCTGGAAAAAAGACAAAACCTGAGGGATAGAAGTTTAACTTTCTATAAGTATTAATAGTAATTGATTTGAATGATTTTTGTTCGTAAAATTTTCATATAGTATTATATCATAACAAAAATTTGCTTCTGACATAGATTTTCTTTGAAATTAGCTATATAAATCATATTATAGTTAGTCATGCGATACAATTAAGATCACTTATTTGTATTTCAAATCGATATATAACATAGTGATTGTTTTGTAATTTAATAAATGACATAATTTTAATTTGTTAAAGTAAATGTTTCATAAATTATTAATATTATATTTTAAGCTTAATTTTTTTAATAAATGGTATAAAATTGCCATATAGCCACAAACTGAGATTAAAAAAATTAAATTGTTCTTTTTTTCCTACTATAAATGTTTAGGGGAAACCAAGGCACATAATACAGGATTTCGTAAAAATTCTTATAAAATTTGTTAACAAAAATGTTATCTTACTGTGGCTGTCTAAATGATGTATCTATGTACCACATAATTATTTTTATAGAAAAATAAAAATTTTAAAATTATTTCGATTTTTCAAGTAGAAAAAACTAAAAGATAGCATTCGACCAAGTGGCGGTCTACATAAGATCACATACAGGATCAAATAAAATATCTCTGTAATATTAAACGAGAACTCTAGAAATCAAAGATTTTATCAAAAAAATTTATGATAAAATTTGTGTCTATTTCAGTTATCGGTAAAGATAATATTGACAAATGCATTACCATGTTTTTTTGGTATTTCGTTGGCATACTATCTTATAATTATAGTTGAATAATTCAAAAGACTATCTAGTTAATCTAGGGGACAGTTTAATATCTGGACTAGCAATCTTGGCCACCTTAATTAATGTCCGGCAATTTAATATGTAAGATACTTTTCAGCTTTTATGATTATCTAAATTTTTTAAGAAGGTATTTTTTAAAAAATATGGTGACCTATATCCTGATCTTTCTTTCTTTCATCATGATATATTGAATTTATTCTGGACCAATGATCCTATTTAAGACTCATACCATAACGATATAAGTAAAAATGGGTTGAACTGGTAAAGGCCATGAGTAAAAGTAAGTTCAAGAGAAAATACCATCCAATCCTCACATAAGCCTATCCAAGATTTTGCTAATGGGAGGGGCACTATTAGATGAGATTTTCTTCTGTAAATTTTATTGAAGGTCCACTTATTGTAGGCCTTTGGCTATATTATAATTTTATAAAAATATTGGGCTTTTACTTATATTTTTAAAAAAATACTAAAAAATTTGAATTATAGTCATTATTTTAAAAAGTTATTAACTTTTATTATATTTCTTTCAAATTCCTCTTTATAGTGATATATTATATAAATTTTTTGAGGGAGAGGGAGGGGATGTATAGAGGAAATTTTTTTATTAACCTAAAATGATATTTAAGTAATCAAGTAAATTTGCGCTGAGAGAAGACCTCATCCCCTTGCGAATCCTCATTTTACAAATGTCATAGAGAACAGAAGAGATAATTCGTCGAAAAGGATACTACTAGATATTATAAAAATATGAATCTTAAAACAATAACCTCTTTTAATTTATAATATCATAAATTGATAATATATGAAAACAATGTTTAGAAAAAAAATATCAGCTATCCCAAGACAAAAATCTTGGAAATTTGAATACACTTCTTCCATTTTTTTTTAAAAAATTTGTGTTCGCCTTTTTTTATTTTTCGACATAATTTTTTTATTACCTTTTATTTTTCGATGAATTTTTATAACTTTTAATTTCAGCCAAAAACCTTTGTGATTTTCAAACGGAATTTAATATTTGTATATTTAAATGGTAATTATTCGTTTGTAATTTTCAAAATTGGAATTGTAAATTGGTAGTTAGCAAATTAAATAAATTGAATAATTAATTATTAAGCTGTTGAATATAATTGTGTATTTAATGTAATAAAATTAATAATCAAAATACATTATACAACTAAAATCAATTCAAACAAAATGTGTATATTGGTAGGTAACAAAGCTCAACCAGCTTTTCAAAAGAATTAGGAATACGGATCAATCCCCCAAAAAACCATTTTTTTTTATTTTTCACTACGAAACTTTAGCAATTATTCTCTCAAATTATTTTAGATTTATCTTCTCCATTAAATAATCTCCCTATCCCTAGCATAAAAACTACAAATATGGCCTTTCCTCCCCAAAATTCTTCTTGATCCTTACCCTACCTTTCCCCGTTTCTTTGAATTTCTTTTAAATTTCTTTCAAATTTTATACTATTTTTCTCTAATTTTTATCCCCTAATTTTTTTTTAAAAAAATAAAATTTATAAATTCAATCTTTTATAATACATAATAAATTATATAATAGTAAAACATAGCAGATTCATTAATTTTCCTGTTGGTGGAATAAAAAATTGACATTCGAAATAAAGTTAAATTAATGAATTTATTAAAATTCTGGTAATTTTTTTTAAAATTATGATATACTAATTTAAATACGGGTAGTATATTATATATAAATACAATGCACATTACAACATTACATTTATATAAATCTTAAAACTTTCAAAATGACAAAAATAAAAGGACTTCTTTTTGTTTAAAAAGAATTTGTTACCTAAGGCCTTCTTTTAGAGCAAAAAATATAAATAATTTATATTTGAAGTTTTTATACATAAAAATGTAATGATATATTGTGTATAATTAAATTTGAAAAAATAGTATTTTGGCTATGCATTTTTTTCTAATTTATCTTAACTTTTCTCATCATTTATGTAAAATATTATCTTATTTTTTTTCAGATTTTAAAATAAACATTTCTTTATCATTTCTAACTTATTTTTTTTTACGGTAAAATTTAATAAAAAAATTATTTAAAAAAATTATTTAAAAATTGAAACTTTTGTTTGGCTTCAAATGTTATGGCCATTTTACTTATTTTTTATTGTTATATGTTATTAAATTTAAAAGATTAATATTATGTTATATATAATAATTTTATATACAGCGAAATATGATTATTTTTTTGAAAAAGTAAAGTTATAATAAAATTTTAATCTCAAATCAAATTTATTTTGGAAAAAAAAGATGAAAAAAATGTTGTTTAAGAATAAAATAATCTCCAAAACAATTTTTCGAATATTATTTTGTCTAAGTTTATCCACCTTTATATTGTCGCTTCTCATATTTTTAATGTCACCGGGAATGACAGTAGAACGAAACCATTATATTTCTAGATTCAAAATTATCTCGAATGCTTATAACAAATTGTATTACTCAAACTTAGCCATTAATTTCCTTAGATTCTCTACAAGAATCGCGGTATTGAACTTTCAAAGAAGTAAAATGACAGTAACAAAGAGTGAAAATAAATATCGCGCAAAACGATCAGAGCAATCCTTGCTTTCCAATTGTGGTCAATTCAGTACTTTGGACAACATGCCATCAATATTTGAATATAAGAGTGATTGCTATTACCTTTTTAGTCAGGATTCGCAAAAAATGAATTGGTCGGATGCTAAAGGCTATTGCAAGTCTAGAAACACACAATTAATCCATTTTAAAGGTCAGCAGCTTGCTGGTTATCTAAAAGAAATTCTGAAAAAGCGGTAAAAATAATAACTTTCTATAAATCATTCTTTTCATATCTTACAAACTTCGTTCGTTTAAAAACGTTTTGTATAAAATGTTACTCAATTCGAACATATTCTACCCACTAGATAATTTATTCAGAATATTATTATGTTTTTTTTTCAATTTTACTTTTGTAAAATTTATTTGTTTAAATTTATTTAAAAAAAGTTTTATTTACAAATAAAAAAATAACTTTAAGGTAATTATAAAATTGTTAATTGAGTCACAAAAAAAAGAAGCATAATGAAATCTAAAAATTTTGGTTATTTTTGGGTAATATAATATATGCAGGCGCGTAGCCAAAGAGAGGATTAGGGGGGGGGGTATAATCTTTCATCTTATATTTATTAATAATATTAATTACAGATTTGAAGATATAACATATATTACTTTATGGGTAGATGGTCCTATTGTAAAATCCACCGATCCCATGCCATTTGAAGGTAATTTATTCAATTAAAAAAAATATTTGACAGACTAAATTTAGTGATTTTTTTTAATATTTAAAGTCAAATCAAATATTAGATAACTTAGGCTTCTTTTCCTTTTATTATGAAACACGGATTTAAAATTATATAGGATAAAATATAGTTTTTATATTTTAGATTAAAAAAAATTTGAATGTAAATAAATATATATTCTCTAAAAAATAACAATTAAATATTTAGTTCTTAATGACATATGAAACATTCCCCCCTTCTTTTGAATATAAATTTAGCCTTGAATCTGTATAAGATTTGTTGTATTTAAATCGAATATGAATTGAATATACGATTAAGGCTAATAAACATTTAAAACTTTAAAAGATTCTTGTCATGAGTTAAGATTCGTTTCGAATAATACCGAAAGTGCTGAGCCCACTACGACAGAAATATCACAAGAGGTGATGGGTAATAGTCCAGTTATATCATGGATGAAGCCGCAAGTCGTGAATTACCTTAGGGATTCTAAAAAATGCAGTGATAAAAAGTATTTTGCTTGTTACAAGACGCCCGTTCATGTGAATATGTCAGAAGTGATTGAATGTAACTTTTATAAAATTTAAAATTATAATCTTGTAAAATAATATAGCATGATAATATATCAGCTACCGCTAAGTTTTAATGAAATGTTTTTTTTTAAAGTTTATTCCAAATTTTTTTATTAAATGGTATATATCGTACTCATATCAAAAAAAATATCTACAAACAGGGAAATATTAATATTTATAAAAAATAAATTAAAAAATATATATAATAGGGGAGACTGGGGCTAGTCGAACCAATTTTTACAAAATTGGCTATAGCTCTTGTTGTTTTATAGATAATATAAAAAATAATATATGATTGGATACCTAAAACTATACTCTATAAAGATTCCTTATAAAAAATCTTAAGAATATAATCATTTTTTTAAATTTTATTTTTTGTAAAAGTAAAAATTTTGTTCAACAAATCCTAATAGCGGGGTGAGGCAAACCACTTCAAGGGGCTTCCTAAACCATTAGTTTTTTTAGGCCATAATAAATTGAAATGCATTTTTATTTATTAATAATGATATGTATAGAATAATTTTATTGTTTTATTATTCAAAATATCATAATACTTATAAATTGAAGCTAATTATATATAAAAATTGAAACTTAATTTTGGCTAATTTAATAAACATTATGGACATAAAAAAAATATGAATTTTAAGGAGAGATTAAGATTTCTTAGCATAAATCCTAAATACCAAACATAAACAGCCATGAAATAGCCTTTTCAAGATTTTGAAATTTTTTTCATTATTAATTGCCATAATTGGCGTGTATGGTTTAGCAAACCCCGCTTGCTCTAAATTGACAAATCATGATGGAAATAATATCTAGATTTGATAAATACTCATAAAACTTACCCAAATTAAGAAGATTGTTTAAACTTTGTAATAAAATTTAATTTACATATATATGATTATATATTTTAATAAAAATTAAAATTCTGTCATGTAAAAATCTTTTGAAAATTTCATTAAAATTTTCTTTCTTAAATAAAATTTTTAGTAATTAATTATTTTAAAATATATTTTATCCATAGATGTATACTAATGAAAACTATATTAGGATAAAATTTTAACCTTCTGGTTATTTAATTTTAAAATGAGATTAAGTGGTTTACCTAACCCCAGTCTCCCCTACTTGTAATTCATTCTATTTCTAAACATGAAGAGTGTTTCATTTTAAACTTTGCAATTATCATTTCTAATGCAAAATAGGCCTAAATTAAAAGTGAATATTTTAGAGGTCGGAAATGATATAACTTCAAGTTTAGAATGATATTATACTTCATAAGTTTAAAATGATATTTTAAGAGGTACTACATATCATCGATTGAGAATTAGATTATTTCATAGTTACTTTTTGTAATTTTACAGGAGCGCATAAAAATTAAGTTTCTATTGTTCTCAGTTGAATGGTTAATAATTTGCCTTATTTTATAAACATTCGGATTTTTTTTATGTAAATAAAATTATATAATTATAAAAAAATGAAAAAAATAATTGAGCGCACAATTTTAAATATATATTTTTTTTATTCAGTCTATTTTAAAACTTTTTTTGATTATTTATACCTTATAATTATATTGTAATAAGCTGTACCGCTAACTACTTGCAATACAATTTTGAGGATTACCCAACAAAGACCAGTTTTATATTATAAGAGTCCAGAATTTAGTGAATTACAAGACCTGATAAATAATAATATTCTTAACTGTGATATCTTGATTTTCAACACGTATCCCCAAGCTATATTAAATATTGAGTTTTTAAAGTTGAATTTAGAAAAAAGCGAAAGGTAATTATATCAGTTAACACTATAATTTTTTTAAAATGTGTTTCACATCAAATGTTATGTAATTGCTAATAATTCGACCTTTAATATTTTAATGTTTAGCAACATAAAAAACTTTTAAACTCTGAAATCTCTTAAATAATTTAATGAGTAGGAAATTTGTTAAAACCTTAGAATGTGATGTTAGCTCACACTTGAATTTATAAAATAAAATTAAAAAATAACTTTGCATAATATTTAAGGTGTCAAAACAGTTACCTAGAAGTTAGTACCTACGATGATATGGGTGCCTTATCAAACAATCTCTCTACACAATTCAATAAACTTAAAATTAACGATTATAGTGCATATAAAGCCATAATGTATAGCAATACATTCGAGTCCGCTAATATAGAATCAAATAAATATTGTGGGGATTGGGAGTCTAACATTAAGCTATTAAAATTTCAAAGTTTTAAGCCTCGTCTTAAAATGCATTTCTTCGCAAAGCACATTGCACTAAAAGGGGATTACACAAAGGGATTTGGGTTTAAAGCTTACTTGGAAATAAATAAGGGTATATGGCTTCTATTTTCAAATAAATATATTTTCTAAAATAATAATGAAATTCCTAATTATTTTAAATGTAAAGTTTATTATTAAATTTTTTTAAAAAAAGTCTTTAAAAAAATAATTGAATTTTCAAGGTTATAAAAAAAATATACAAAAAAATAGTAAAAGTTCTATCCTTTAAGAACAATTAAACCAATCTTGTATTTATCTGTACAAATATATTATATTTTTAAACAAATTATTAATTCTATAAGGATTTAAACATGAGAGGCAAAAGCCAAAAAAGATTGACTTCCATAATCAAATTGAGGGCAGTTATTCAAGCTCAAATTACCTGTCTACACCGAGATACCAAAATAACGCCGATATAGATATCAATATACGCATGCCTGATCTCAATTATCGAATAGAAATCAGCTTTGTTTTTATCGATATAGAATATCAAAAATATTGTCTTTACGACTATATAAGTTTTATAATTTAATTTATTTATGAAAATATATTAAATTTATCATTTATTATTATCTTCGTAAGTTTTTCTAAGATATGAAATATTTGATTGTTATTTTATATAATATATTTGCTAATTATCGTAAAAGTAACCATTTACACATGGATTTTTTTAAAAAAATCCAATCCTGGGGTTTAGTGTTGTCAAAAACCTTGATTTAAATGCCTATTTAAAAGGGCTTAAATCAAGATTTTTGCCAAAAAAATTAACAAAAACTTGAGATTTGGTCAAGAGAGGGTTAAACTTCTTTTCCCCCACCTACATGAAATCTCGAAACTTGGGTGAAATTTTTTGACTAAATCTTCAACCCTTTTTAACGCCGAAATCGAAGTTTTCGAACAACCATATGTTTTTTAAATTTGTCAATTTTACGGCCTAGTTCAAAATTTATTAACCATTGCATATTATATTACAACAAAAGGTATTTCCGACTCCGACACTCCTATCAAGGGTGAAAACGACGATATACGTATATGCGGAAAACTGTATTTCTTATCTCGGCAACATGATAACCTATATTATTCTTCCTCTCATTTAAATATTTTCAACGACGACACTTTCAATTCTAAAAATGATTATTTCAATGGGCCGAACTATAAAAATTACAATAGCATTTCCCTTAATAACAGCACATTGAGCATAGTTAATCTACCTAAAATTAACTTCAATGACAATGATCAAGATAAATATTTTGTAAGAAGCATTAAATCTGCCCCCATTACGCTTTCCGGGGTAAACCCGTTAACATTTTTAAGCTTCGAAAATAAGATGAGCGTTAAATTTAGATCTGATTCATCACTGAACGAAGGGGCTGGCTTTTTATTAAAGTGGAAAGGAATTGACATGCGAGACTGCGATAACCTATATATCAAAGTGGTGCCTGGAATCATTTATGAGAATAAAAACGAAGATATATTATTAGAAGATATAGGTAATAATTATAATAATAATATGAATAAAGGAGAAGTCATAAATGATACTCGGGGTTCTAATCAAGTTGCAAAACTTATTATTGATAAAAGCGTCAAAAAAATGCAAAACAAAATAATGCCCGCGATCTTTAATTATTTTAAGAGTTTCAACAGGATTGATATACCTTACCTAAAATGCGCCACGACTTTATTCATTAATAATTCAAACTCAGAACCAACTACGAATAATAAAACTGCCAGCATTAGTAAAAATGAGAATGCTAAGGATAGAATATTGATAAAATTCTCGAGCATTAATTTTGACGAGGATAATCGTCATACCTCTTGTTTGGAAGAATATTTTCTGATTGAGCTTAGCAATCCGCAAATCAGACTAAGCGATCTAAATCAAAATATTTATACTAATCATTATTTTAAACTTAATAATAGGACTAATCATTATAATATCTCACTGAACAACTCCAATAATTATGTTAACAGCTCTCTTAATTTTATCACCTCTACAAGAGGAATTGATAAGTACGAGTCACAAAAAATGATTGTATGTCCGGACAAAATCAATGATTGGAATTTTAAATACTTCGTGTCATATTCGAATGTATTAAGATTCCATTATATCAAAAATACTAGAGAAAATTACGTTCTAGATTATATGATAGCATATCGCCATGGTATAATATTTTTAAATATGCTATTTTATAAAGTCACCCCAGTGGTACTAATATAGCTTATTATTAATTATTGATTATTATTACTGTTAAATATTTTCCAAGGATTAAATTTTTTATTTAGTTTATTAATAGTGTTGAAAAGCCGGACATAGTTTTTAATTTTTTTATAAAAATGCTACATGCAAGCCCTAATTGGTCGTTTAAGACTTTTTATAAAATATTTTCCTTTCAAACTTTTCAGATTCTGGGTACATTGCAAATCTCTACATATATATATATTTAATATATTATTTGGAATCATTTTTAGTTCAAAAGGTAAGAATAAATGTGACGATATCGATAAACCATTCAAACAGTGAAAACAATTATTTGACTACTTTAAATTATCCTAATCCAATTCCTAGTGACACGATTCACAGCATACTGTTAAGATCGGACGAAAAGGCCAATATTCACTTGTACACAAAAGGCCTCTATTATGACAGTTCCTTTATAAAATTAAAAGATGGTGAGGCTGAATTTGATCATTTTACTTTTCAATTTTCATACATGAATTGAGATAATCCATTAGGATTCGGAATTTCTTAATCATACATTTACTGAGGGAGATTTTAAAATTTTAAAAATCTGAATTGACCTAAAATGTAAAGCATTTATGAAATACATACCTTATAAATTTCAGACAATTTTTGCAATTATCTTTTCTGTATTTTTCATTCAAATGAAAAATTTATATAAAAGTTTATATAAATTTTAAAATGCTTCATATTTAGATAAATTTGTTGAAATTCACAGTGTGGGTACTCTATACATATTGGAATGCATTTTTTGTAGAATCAGATTTTTTATATTAGTAAATCTCCCCCAGTGAATATTATAAAATTTAGAAATTCAGGATCGTCATGGATTCCATATCCTAATTCAACATATACAAGCAATCAATCGTAATGTAATATAAATTCAAAATAAAAGATATACAGTGTAATCAATAAAATATTTATAGATTAATTTTTTAAGGCAGTGAAGATAAACTTAATTCATTTTTGTTATTAATAAATTCTGACAATTAAATAATATTTTCACTTCCGTTCTATCTTATAATCCCATAAAAAAATAAATAAGATAAATGCGCAAATAAATTAATAATCGAGGATCCTTTCCTACTTCTTAAAGAAAATGACAGCGGCTACACTCCAATGAAAAAGATTTATTGCCTCAAATCTATAAATAATATTAATCGAAGTGGAGAGGACATCATAAATAATAATGATATAAATATTAACAGAAATGAATTATCTCACGTTATAACTTCGTTTATGCATGCTCTTATATTAAGAATCCATTCTGACTCGCATTTCTCAGCGTCTCCATTCATTTTATACTGGGAACTTAGCAAAGGTAAGGTAAGTTTAAAAGTATGTTTTAAGATATTATTTGTTTAAAACTATTTAACAATGGCTATCTTGAACCAAAAATAAATACAAATCAAATACTTCATTTTATTTTTTTAACGTTATAGATAATGACTTCGAGATAAAATCTAAAGCATCTACACTTTCGCAACTCCCAAATCATAATTTATGCGCCAACGGGGGCAATTATACTATCAATCAATGCGAATGTAAACCTCCATATTCAGGTTCATAAACTCTATAAAAATATGTTTTAATATTTATATTTTAACCAGCGTCTTCACGAGAGAAATTTTTAAAGGGTAAATGCCTAGATTTATCTCCCCTCCCCACCTCTTCTCCGCAATAAAAATAGTGAAATAAATAATTTTTTACTCATTATTCACAAGGAGTCTACCCCCTACCTCCTGAAAGATATACAAAGGCAAATAGTTCATACCCCCATCCCTATTCATGTAGACACTGCGTGTCGTATATTCAATTGTTTATAGATATGCTTGTTATTGTGACTTTACATTTTGACACTAATTCAGTAATAGTATATTATTAATCAAATTTATTTCAGTCATAATATTTAAATGAATTTTAAAAAAGGCAAATTTTGTTTGAATCATCCCTGCGAGTCTCAAAATTGTAATTTTGGCGTTTGCATCATAAAGGACAACACCTATGCATGTGAATGCGACAAATTTCACGTGGGATCAAAGTGTCAATACGAAATTTGCGATGCAAATATATGCAATTCTCAGGGGATTTGCCAATTATCGTTAAACGAAACAGAAGTTTGTAATTGCTATGGTGGATACACAGGTTTGTATTTATTAATTTTAGAGATTAGATCATCTTTTTTCATGGCTGCAATTATTAAATATGAGTAAGGAGGTCCAGATAGTTTAGCACGTTTAAATTAAATTGGAGTACGTAGAAAATTTTTTAGGGCCACGTTTATAATAAACGCGAAATACCGCTATACAGTTCAAGCGATGTGTAATTTACAATAAGCATAATGTCAAATTATATAGCTACACTAGATAAAACAAAAAAAAATTAAACCTATGGCTGAGAGTATAAGTAGATAAAGACCTTTAAAGTTGAAGTGTCTAAGAAATATTCTTAAAAGTCATTAAATAATATACCATATAACATACTCATGCGATTGTTATTTATTTTATATGTCTTATTGAATTTGGGATACGTAATCTATGGTAATTTGGAATCTCCAAATTTATAATTATTTTAATAAGTTCAATACTGAGATCCCGTTTAACCGAAAATGTATTCCGCTGTGTAGAGTAACTACCCAATAAATTTCAGACAATTTTTGCCATAAACATTTTGTGGAATTTTTAACAAAATCAATATAATGTATTTTACGGTCTGGGTACTCTATGCATGCTTAAATACATTTCCGGTCAAATCAGATTTTTCAAATTTAAAAATAACTTTCAATAAATGATTTTAGATCGAAAGATTCTGAATCCCATGGATTCTATACCCCAACGCTTATAATATTTGCAAATTTAAGAAAAAAAATAAAATAAAATATCAAGATATTGTTTAAAATAAATATAAATGACAGGAAGCACATGCGAATTGAAATTACCTATAATAAAGGTATTGACACCGTCCGAGAAATTTTTCCAAGAACCATTTTGGATGGGTATATTTTTGGTGATTATAGTGCTCATCATATTGGGATTGATTATGTTGTGCCAAAGGAAATGGACAGGGGAATACAAATTTATATTCTGCGACGATTGTAGTTTTATAAAACCAAGTATAGTTTTGATCGAAAAATAATGTTTATTTGATTGTTTATTATTATCCAACTTTTACGTAATCGTAATATTTGATTTGAGCTTGCATTGATAATAAAAATTATATTATATAGAGCTCTCTTTCGGTATTAACGGCAGGTTTTCTAAATCTCATACGTAATTAACAATAAGTAAAAAATAAAAAATTAATTTTTATATTTGAAATTAATTTTATATAAATATTATAATACAGGGCCTAAATCCAAACGAAATAAGTTTCAAGATAGCAATTTTTCTTCTTTGGACACCATCATCAGCAACATAAATAATAGTAGTAATTTAAATACTATTCCTAGCGACATCATTATACATAATGATATAGGAGATAAATCAATGCCTATTTCTAAGAACTTCACTAAAACCTATAAAAAACGTTCAAATGAAAAGAGAAGGGGCTCTTTTCTTCCTTTAGCATCACCTCTCAATCATTTAGCTTTAAGAATGTTTACAAATCGTCGCAAATCATCTCCAGTTACTAGTCAAAAGTCCTTTTTCTCCCAAAAAGATCATGATAATTTTGCACTGAATTCTTGTCGAGATAAAGATAAAAAAGATGAGAAATATAATAAAGAAATTGGGAATTTGCCTGAATTCAATAAGGGAAGTCTTGATTCTAAAAGAAAGTCTAAGGTGTCCAATGTTCTTAAAAATATCAGGGAGTCATCAAACGAGTAAAGATTATTTATTAATATTCATTTCCTTTTCGAAATGTTTAGGTGCTTAAAATATTTTACTTGAGATAAATTGATATCAGGTGTATTTTTGGTTATATATCATAATAATACTCTAGGTTTAATCTATTAATTTATTGATTTGTATTTAATATTATAACATAAGTATATTCCGACCTGTGAACGAAAAAAAAATGAAAATCAATTTATTCAACGATTCTGCCATGCCAAAGCTAAGGAAATATAGTTTGGCGACTCCTTATAATGATGACAATTTTTTAAGACCTCATTCTAATAAAAGTATAATTAACAGATCATCCACAATGTCTTCAAGCAGTGGTTGTTTAACCAATGACACCTCGATTAGTGATAATTTTTCTGAAAATCAAATTAGTTATAATCTAGATAAAACGGCTAATGACTCAATACCAATCAATTATAATGACCTCTGTAGTTTAACTAGTAGTCTTTGTGGTGTTTCACATAGTCCAATCATTAAAAGGTGTAATATTAATCTAAATGATCTGATACATAAAAAGGCCCATAGTATAAGGGAACGAAAGAATAAACGTGATTTAGAAAACTTTAGATGTAAAAAAATGTTAATTAAAGATTACTTATATGCTAATAAGTTGAATGACGCTAAATATTGGGATCCAAATTATATGGATTACTATCTGAATTATTTAAACCCTGGACAACATAACTCTGAAATTATCGATTCTCATGGGTTGTGTGATTCTAAATATAAATTGCCTACACTTGAATCAAATAGAGAAAATAATTGCATAGATGTTGTACTTACCAAAAATTTTGAATTCAAGGGCAGATCTCAAAAACCTATTATAACCATAATAGATACTAATGTAAAAATTAATAATTTTACTAATTAATATTATTTACATATTAATCAATTAAAATATTAATTATATAACAATTAAACGAAAAATTTTGATTTTAAGTTGGAGAACATATAAAAAAATTCGATCAAATGGGATATAAGATAAAAAGAATTTAAAACGTATTTGGAATAAAAGAAATCAAATGAGCCAAGAAAAACAGTTAACTTAACGTATTTATTATATTGTCTTCTATATTGTACAAGCATGATATATATTTTTAAATCAAATATAATGTAATATTGTCAAGCATGTTAAAACAAACTATTATTTAGGTTTTATTTAATGCATGAAATCCTAATAGCCAATTTATTTATTATTCCTAAATAATAGTGTGGTTAATAGGGGGGGGGGGGGGAGTACAATTTTTTCAATTTAGAATAAATAATTATTTTTTATAAATTTATAAAAAAGATGGTCCCTCCAATTTAAAAAGTCTGGTAATGTGAGTTAAATTTTTGTATTAAAATAATAGTGTAGTATCCCTTTAACAATTTTCAGAGCATGATTTAATTATTTATATAAATTAAAAGAAATCTAGAGGCATTCGATGAAAATGGCAAAAATCTTCCACCTCCCTACGTATCGGCGATTAAAGGTTTCATGAGAAGGTCTTCTTCACTTCTAAGTATCACCTCTTTCGGGCATACAAACACAAAAATAATTTCACCTAATATAAATAACGTTGAGAACAAGGCAACACCCGAGTCAAAAAATAATCCACATCCAGGAAACAATCGTAGTAGCAGAGTAAGTAAAAGGACTCAAAATTTGTTGATGTCTTATTCTTCACCATTTTTTGCCCAGGCTTTTGATTCTTCTTCCGAGGATGACGATAGAAATTTTAAAACCAACTTGTACAACAATAAAATATTTAACAGCGAACCAATACCGCCATTAACGGATATAGTAGCTATGAGAAATGATAATATTACCACTCGTAATTACGACACTATTGCTTGTTTAAGGGACAAAAAACATAAATATCCACCTTTTATACAAGCTCTTAGAAGCCCTCTTGAATTCAAACCGCTAAATTCAGTAATAGCTCATATGTTTACAGTTCCTAAAGATGGCAGCGTCCACAGATTGTCTTACACAGGTGGCCATATATGAAGGAGCAGTATTTTTTAAAAATTAAGAGTTTAAGTTAAATATAATATATTTCAAAAAATATGGTGCTAATTATTTTTTACTCCTAATAATTTTTGTTTAGTTCTATAATAGAGACGTTGAATTTTATATCGTTTTATATTATAATGATTTACTAGTCAAAAAATCTTTGCCTAAAGCTTGCACTATTTAAAAAAGGGTTAAAATACTATAATTCTCTTAACATTAATCTTAATCATAACAAAACCGAATTTATTTTTTATTAGTCCTATTACAGATTATTTCTTTAAAAAAAATGGGGTGCGAGCTGGAGTCAAGGGGGAAAAGGTTATTTTTTAGGATTGATTTATATTCATGGTATAAAAAGTTATAATTTATGATAAATTTTTCATTTTTTTTATAATTTATTATCTAAATAATACATATATATTGTATATTGTATCACTTTTCAAAATATTCGATCGAGCAAATTTAATATTGTAATAAAGATATATATATATATATGTGCATGATAAAATATCGTTGATATGGCTACCATTTCATTATTTCTAAATAATTTACATAATATAAAAAACGTATGTAATAAATTTTAAAAATGATGTATTGTGACATCATCACGGGAAGAATGTGATAGGTAACAATTAGAATTGCGGGAGGGATTGGTAAATCCTCAGAACCAATTGAAATCGATTCATGGTAACTATACAGCTTTTTTAATGTTAATTAGCTGAAAACACAAATTTAATAAAATACTTTTATTACTAATATATTATAAAACAATAAGTAAATAAACATAAAAATTATGACGCTTTTATATAGTAAATATAAAAAGGTGCAATAAAAAAATATAAAATAAATGACGCAGTACTTTTATACAAATATAAAAATGGGTTGTGCTTGTTTTCTTCGACTAAATCGCGTTTTTCCCTAAATATACTAATAAGGAAAAAGTCCTATTATTAATTTTAAAAAAATCTGTTAAATTTTTGGGCCGAAATGGTTAGTGTGTCCAGGTTTAATTTCTCCTGAACTAAGACCTCATTCAGCTGGGCTTCTCTTCCTATTGCAATCAGTATTAATTAAAAGGACTGGCTTCCTTATCCTCTATAATCTTAAAATAATTTAAGTGTTCTCATTCTAATTAAAAAATCATTCAGGCTTAAACAATATGGTTACAAAAAAAGGATATATTTAAGGGGAAGAGTATATAATATTGCAATTATAATGAAAATTCTTAAGAAAAAATAATTTTTATCTAACATTAAAATTGCTTGTAAAAAGCATAAAAAAATATATAAAATCAAACATTATCACAAAAAGATTTAAAAAATTCATTTTTAATTATAAAATATATTTTTATAATGCATATATAGGCACGATGAGATCCTTTATAAATGTCACAGTTCAAACAATAATATACTAAAAATAGAAATAGTTTATTCATAGCATTGAATTTTTTTTAGAGTTTGGGTTAGTTTCTTAACCATCAAACATAATATTTCTCTATCAGGTATTATTAAAAAATGCCCACCCTAATTCAGTTAAAAATTCAAATAGCGGGAAGTAACTCATTTTACATTTGAAAACTTCTTAAAATGCTATTAAAACAACTTCCTATTAATATTAGGAATAGCTGTCCATTAAACTAACAACTTATTAAATATTATTCTTATATAATGTCTATCCCAAATTTGGATCATGAAGTTGAGTTTTGAGTCGTTCTTCCATTTCCAACAATTGAAGCCTAGATTTCGTCTCATCATGAATCATTTTTTTTGAATCTTGAGCTATTTGCTCCATATTTTCGAGGATTTCTCTGTTTTTCGTTTCATTGCCCAGGTTGATAGTTGCCTTTAAATTATTAAAATATATTATTTTACGTCAGAAATGATTTTTTTTATAGAAAAGTAAAAAAATTTTTTGCACGTTTAATCTTTTATTGACCTTAATTTTCCATAATTTTATATTTCTAAATCCAGGGAAAAAAATTCGACAAACTGAAAAAACTGTGGGGGAAAACGAAAGGAAACATCAAGGAAAAAAAATCTTAAGAAAATATTTTTCTGAAGACTTTATTACTGCAGATTTTTCCCTGCGATTTGTCTTTGTTTAATATTTTTTTTTTGTTTGGCCAAGTTATTTTTGGGATTTGCAAATATAAAATTATATTAGAAGATTTAATGCAAATTATAATTTCTTTAAGGGTTTTTATAAAAACGATCATAAATCACGGAAGAATTGAGACAAACTATAACATAATATAAAAAAAATAAAAGCATGCAAATTATACATTTATTCATTTAAATGTTTATCAATTCTTTTTAAAAAAAAACAACCCAATAATTAAAACGTTTATATCTTAAAAAGCGATTTAATAAAAATGCTTGGAAATTTTCAGAAATATAGTTCCGCATAAATTGAGGCTACTAAAAAAAATCAGGTCAATATTTATATGTTAATTTACAATAACCAATTTTAAACATCCGGGTGTAGAAAAACCGTTCTATTAGCATAGAAAAGTTAAGATAACAGATTTTTTAATTTTTTGGGTTGTCATAAAAGTTAAGAGGAAGAGAATGGATGTAGCATGTATATATATTCATAAAATAACCCTGTATAACAATCGTTCCAACTGTTTAACTTTGTCTTTAAGAATGTTAGTATCAGCCTGATATCCTTGCTTATCAAAATTTCTACGTTTCAAAATATTTTGATACTTCAATTCACATGCCTTAAGCCTCTGGGTCAAAGTTTCATGTCTATCCTACAAACAAAATGTGTTTTTTTTTCGAATATATAAAATTTAATTCAAATTTTTTATAAAGATTTTCATAATTAAGTAATATGATAGATAAAATAAATTCAAACTGATAACAACATTTATCTTACAAATAATTTTTAAATTAAATAATTAATTTTTAATATATTTGATAACTTATAATAAAAAGATATATTTGACACTGATAATTTTGATTAATTAAAATTTACTGCCCAAAAAAATCCTACCCTTGATATCATTTACAATAAAATATTATTACTTACACTACAACATAATTCACCATATTTCACTTTCAAAATAATCAACGTATTTATTATATAGCCTAGAGGTAAATTATAATTTATAATAAAATATTATCACCTACACTAGAAAATAATTTATAATTTTTCAATTTCTTAATAAAATGGAAGTTCACAAAGAAAAATGAGAGAAAAAGCGTTAAAAATTTTTTTCCGTGAATTAAAATATTTTTTGACACCTAGAACCATCCATTTTTAAAAAGGATCTGGGTCCAAGTTTAGCTAAAATACGAGGGTTTAGGGTCCGGAGTCACATTTTTGATTAATATATTATATGTAATATGGAATCTCAAAAAAAATTTCAGAAAAATACAAATATTGTAAGGTAAAGGATGAAACAAAAATTGTTTCATCTTTTAGGTCTTTTTTAGGTTAGACGTGTCCCAAAGACACTATGTCTTGGACTGGATAACGTCTGGCCCAGAATAAGAACGCCTCCAACCAGTCCCAATTTGATATTCTATAGACTTATCAAATTTAATACTTGAGTACAACAAAAATATAAATCTAAAACATTATATAGCATATTATAAGTAAATAAAAAAAATATTGAATTTCTTACCGAATAAATTTGATGTTCTGCGATATATTTTGCATTCAATAATTCGTGTTCATTCTCCAAGTCTAAATACTTTTCCTTATAATATATGGCACTATCTTGAGAAGCCTTCATCTTCTTCTCCAAAACTTTATCCTAGACGGAAAAATATTAATATTAAATTACGTGTTTAAAATATTTTTTAATTTAAATATCTCTTATAAGCAAAAATATCAAACATAATTTCAAAAAAAAGGATGTTAGAGTATGACAAGCTATAAAAGATTAGTATTCTTCATGTCAGGGCAAAATAATGTTAATGAGCAATATAATGAGTAAATGAATGTATAATATTTTATGCATTTTTATTTTAACCATATTATATTTTTGACCATGTCTATATTTTTTAGCATCATCAAATGAGGAAGTATCAGTTTTGTCATTGAATATGTCTTCATCACTCAACAAATTAACATTTGACGAAAACTTCATGTGGTTTATTTGTGATCTAAGTTCTATGATTGTGTTTCTTAATGATGCTTCCTTTATTTTATAAATTTCTTCATTTTTATAGTATATTTTTTTCAACTCTGCCAAATCTTTAGCAGTTTGACACAATAATTCTTGCGTTGATGATAATCTATTGTGTATAAAAATATAAATAGAATATAACAGTAAAAAAAACTTCTTTATAGTTAACTTTCATCAATTTTAATTAAATGAAGCAGAAGTCTTATCTAATATTAAAAAATTTTGGTTATAGTTAAGTCCTCGCTTATTACAAACTATTTATGTTAACTCTGTCTATTTCTTAATGAATCTCATATTTTTTTAAGATATCAAAAAAATGCAACATTCAATAGTTAAGAAATTAATTTATATACATTTTACAATTTTTCTAGATTATATAGAAACTAATACTCCAAAATTTATTTCTAATAACCAGACCGGTGTCTATACCAACTTCTTTTTAAAAGCGTTTATGAACGAAACTTAAAAAACATGTAGTATGTTTATTGGGAAAAAATAAAGGTGGTATTGCGTCAATTCAGCACAGTCATTTTGTCGTGGTCAATGGGACGCCAAATAACTCGACGCCATTATTTTGGGCAAAAAAATGATCCAGCCCGTAGCATATTTTTTTCTTTTAAATTAAATATATGCAAGTTTTATTTTAGATATTTTTTTAATCATGATTAGTAAAGCAAGTGCCAATTGGGGCTTGAAAAACCAGGGTTCCTTTAAATACCAATGAATAATTATAAAATATATTTTTAAATTTATTTTGTGGATTACTCATTAGAAGTCAGCGCGTGTCAGCCAGGCCTATCAAAATTTTGATTAGGCTTTCCGAGCCAATCTTATAATTACCTTAACCTGTACAAGTTATTCTACCCATCTGTAATAATTTATTTAAGAAGGAAAGCGACATAAATTTGCCTAATTATGAGTCATAAAACATTTTACAGACTTCGGCAAAAGTATATCCCTTTGTATCTTAACTAAGGTTTTAATTTTACCTTTGCACTAAATTTTTCTGTTTGGCAATTTCCCTTTTTTCTATTTCTTTGACAAAATTTTCATTTTGATTATTTTTATCAATTATTTTTCCCATGTGAACAGTAATAAAACGCCGTTGCTCTTCAATCTCCAATTTTAGTGCTTTAATTTGTAACATTTCAATTTGTTTATCTTGAGATCTAAAAAATTAATTAATTAAAAATTTTAAAAGACAGATTACTACTTTGATGGGTTTGAATTTTTAAAATTCTGATTTTCTGCAATGTTTTCCAAAGAATTATATCCACTTGTTGATGCCCGAGATTTACTAAGTGCTAAACTGGGAATTGTTTTATGTGTCTTACCCATTACCTGGGTAGTTTTTAGACCCTATATTAAATATATATAACTTTTTTTGAGGTTATATTTACATCTTGATCAGAAAACAGTACTATTTCCAATGCTTTGATCCTCTTTTTATTATCAATATCTTTTATCTATAATCTTATAAAAATTAATTTATAAATGAATATGAATAACTCTTAATTGATCATTTTCAGCAGATACCCTCAAAGCACTCTCCTTCTCTTTTAATAAACAGATTTCTACTTTGTTTAATAATGCTTGAAGATGATATATATCATCATTCTTTTCTTTAATTTGTTGCCAAAAATCTAGCTATAAAAATAATATAGATTTTACATCCTTAATTCAAGTTACCTGATTTGTATTACATTTTTTAATTTCTTCTATCTTCTTAGTTAATGTTATTATATCCTTTTCGTATTCAGCCGATTTGTTTTTATAGAATTCAAGTAAATCTTTTGTTGGATTTTTATCCATATGATTTAAAGCGGTTATGGACCGCAAAATGGACTGGGAATGACATTTGTCAATCAAGCTCTTTGAAAAAAATGAATTAAAAAATCTTATTCCTCTGGTATTTTATAACCTAGCTTTGAGGCTTTCGGAGACTTTAATTGGTTGTATAGTAATATTAACTACTTTGGTGGCTTAAAAATTTGTCAGGTTCAAATATCAGAAAGCTGTTACCAATTAAATTTATAATGAAAAACCAAAAGTGTTCATTCCCTTACAAAAATCTTGGATAAAACTTTGGCGCCTTTGCAGATAGAGAGACTATAAAAAAAAAATCGCTATTGATAGATCTATCTGTGAAATGTCATAAGTGCCATCTATTATGACAATTTACGTTTTATATTTTCGAATCCTTTAAAACTAGTAAATTTACAATTCTGTATCATGTTAGAGCTGGGAGATGGTGAAAGTAGTTTTATTATTAAAGGAATAGAGGTTTTAACAATGCTTATGCTATTTATCAACTATATTCCTAGAAAAATATTCGAATTGATGGAAGAACTAATAATGAATATAGAACTATATATTTAGAATTAGATAATATTTTAAATTCCCATGGTTCAGCTCAAATAAGAATAGTAATACAATAAATATTCTAAATATATTATAAATATTCAGAATAATACAGAAATTATGGTAGCTGTAAAAACTGAAATAATGATACCTGATATTCTACACCCTGATGAAGGTTCAATTGAATTTTACCTTGAATGGTAGATAAAATTATCAGATTAAATATATTCCTAACTATAGTTCTGCAAATGCTAATCCTATCTTCCAAGGTAAAGGGGGGGATGAATTATCTGAAGAAATTACAACACTCTTATATAAATTATATGATTCTTCTGCTGCTTTTGATAAAAAGAAATTAGGTATTTGTAAAAATGAATTTTGTTGGAAGCTGTATGTAGAAATATTGGTAAAGTTTTAAAATTTTAAATTTTGACTTTATTAATAAAAGATTTTACAATATGGTGGCAATATCTTTGATGCAGTATCTCTTGCAGTTAAGGCTGCCTTACATAATACTAGGTATATTCTTCATATTTAAATGTATTCATTTTTTGGAAAAGGATACCTATTGTTGAAGTGAAGAAAGATGAAGATTTACAGAAATACTATATTGAATTATCAAATAATTCTAGTGATGAATTCAATATAGATGTATCAAATTGCCCTTTGTTATTAACCATATCAAAAGTAAACAAAATATTTAAAATTTATAAAAAATATTAATAAGTTAAATTTTAATTAGAAAAGAAAAGTGTTATTTCTAAAAGGTTCAAACCTTTAATTAAGAATTTAGAATAATGAAACATAAATTTTATCACTTTAGGCTTTTGAATTGAGTATATAGCATGTCTTTCATCTTCTAAATATGTGAAATAATATTTAAAAAATTAACACTTATATTTCAATAAAAACTAACTATTTGTTATAATTCAACTTATGTTAACTAACAAAATTTTCAAAATTAAATTTTTTAAAAATGAATACTTTACCTTAATGGTTCAAATTAATTTGGGTAGTCTATAATCCACCCAGAAAATCCCCAAATTTTTTTTAGATGAATATTCATAAATATTGTCAAGCATAAATCCAATTTAGATAGTGAGTATATACTTTTCAACTATGTTATCTTCACGCACAACATCTTTTAATTCATTAAGTGATGAACATGCTTGTATTTCAGTTCATTCCTTTATGATTACAAGGGGGGATTAATGGGAAACTTTCCTCTTCCTCTTTAATAGATCAATTTATTATTGATTTATCCTTACTACAAGTTCATGGCAAAATATTTATTGATTTAATATATTTCAGTTTATAATTCACAAAGGATTTCTAAAAAATTAGTTGAGCAAAAATAATATAACGATTTCATTTCTATTTTTTACGCCTTTTATATCTTATACATTTCAAAAATAAATATAAATTGATAAATAATCATAAAAATAAAATATATTTATACAAATAATATAAACATCAAATATAAATAACTTTTAAATAAAAAAATAACTCTGCAAGATAATCAAAAAATAATTTGTCCCTAAAAAGATATGAATGAAATGCCATAATTAGTGACTTATAAAAATAACGGAATATACATCACATTCAATTAAACTTAAAAATCTAATTTTAAGTAATATCATTTTTAAAAAAAGTAATTATATTCTCTTACTTGATTGTTTCCCTCAAATATTTTTCATCAGTCCATTTTTGGCTTGGCACACTTATAATTGATTTTATAGGAGATAGAAGGTATCCTAAGACTATGAAAAACGTTGACAAAATGTCAATTCCAAATCCTCGTTTTTTAAACTACAAATTAGTAGGCACTCTATAAGAGAATTCTTTATCAAAAAATTATAAAGAAAACATAAAACTAGAGAAGATCAATCGATACCAGTTTAGACCTCCTTTCAAAGAGTGATCATCTGCATACCTGGATTTTAGAAACAAATATTGGTGTTTTATATTTATTGGCCCGATAAAAACAAAAGAACCCTATTTTATATCTAAAATCGATCTGCATAAAGTTGGCTACTTTTTTAGGATCTCCCAGTTGACATTCTCTAAATAAAACATTTAAATTTTTATTCGCTAAATACGAAATGGTCATCCCAACTTCAGCTCTTGTAGAACGCCATTCCGGTTTCGCTACCAAACCCCCTTACTTCAGATATTTAAAAAAAAACATTAAAAGAATTTGGAATTTTTTTTAATTTAAGATATATTTTACTTAGCTGCATTATACTTTAGGATATATTCTGCTTTAAAATACATCTACTCTCCTAATTCCTTATTAATATGGATTCACAACCCTCTTTAATGCTATACTTTCTTAATTCATTCTAATATAGGATTCACACTACATTTTCTGACTATAGTACATGATTCTCTCATTAATTGAGATGTGCTTGTAATCACTTAAATCAAGTAAAATAAACAAATACGTAAAGACCTAGAAATATTATATCTTCACCATTAGCAAGTAATTAGATGGCCATTTATCATACTCATAATTCTCTTAAATACTCTGTTAGCAGGAGCCAATTCGATAAATTGCAAAGTGAATCCCATTTTCTCTAACGATTCCGAGATCAGCCAAACTTTTATAGGATAAGAATAATTTTAGGGAGATCTCCGCTGGGAAAACTCTATCAAGCGTTGGTAGATTAAGTTTTTAACATGGCACAATAACCTATATTTTATTGATTTGCATATCAGGAGACCCATATGGCTCGGTTGGACGTATTAAAGGGAAAGGTTTTTAGTAATATATCTTAAACATTTGTTAATAAACGATTATGTTCTCTTATTATGGGTTTGGGTGAGATTCCACGTCTCGATGGCTTTTGTACATCAAGGAGAGAACTAATGTTTAAATAGCCGTATCTTTATGGGATAGATAATTGGTTGGATGTCTTCATAAACGAGCGGTACTTAAATCTGGCCTTGTTCACGATATTCTTGTTTGGTTCCCTTTCTTGTACAAAATAACTCCCAGATTTTATGCACGTAACTTCTTCAATTTCCTCATCCTCTAGAATGTATAGACTGCAATCACCTTCGTTTTCTCTGAATTGAGATTTAGGCCAAAAACTTTTACTTTGATGATTATTTTATCGCAGCTTAGACATAGAAGTCCCCTGAAGTCATCTGCAAAAGCAGGAAAATTTATATTTTCTACCGCCATTTTTTCGCATGTGATCTTTGTTATATAATTTGTTATGAAGTTGAATATTCAGCCCCATCTTTACTGGAATTCTTGGTGATTTTGGACTAGCGTGAATAATTTGTACTAATTTTGATAAAGGTATCAATAATTGAATCGAACGCTCTTCTAAAATCTAGGTCGTGATGAATATTTGGCTCTTTCGTAAAGGGTCCTCTCCTTTAATTTTTCGTGCCATAATAGCTCCAACAGTATTATGACCCTTTCTAAACGAGACCACAATCTACATAAATTGGTGTTTGGTGAGATGGAGCATCCCCGGCCGATAAGTTACCGCTATTTAATGAATTTCCCCAAAGTCAAAAATCTTTCTTAAAGACTGGAGGGGTATCTCTTTAAATTCTGTAATTTACAAACTATTTACGCAAATTATATTGAACAGACTAAACCCAATCGTTGAGTAGGCGTATTTCCACCCTTTTAGCGATCTATCTGAGTTATAAGTTTTGTAAAAAATCAGCATAATTATACGAAGAATGGGCCTTAGGCACGTAACTAAGGGGTGAGGAGAATTTCTTCCTAAATCACAAATTTGCTTGTTTCGTAAATATCATTTTAAGCTATTAATAAGTACCCCCCCCACTCCCTAAAAACTCCCACCCCTCTCCCCCCGAATATGTCACTATAAAGAAGAATTTGGAAGAAAATTATTGATTTTTTATAATAACGACAAAATTAAAAATATTTAGAAAAAAAACGTATTTTTATAAAAATAAGTGAAAACCCAAAACAATTTTTATAAAAGTATAATATAGCCAAAGGCCTACGATAAATCGACCTAAAAACCTCCAATAAGATTTATAGCGGAAAAGCTCGCCTAATAGTGTTTTCCCCTTATAAAAAAATCATGGATTTGCCTATGGGCCTTCAGATAATTCACGATAGCTCATGATAAGAATATAAAATTTTTGAATTAAAAAGTATTATTGATATAATTTATATTTTAAATCATTATATTTTATCGTTCTTTATATTTTTATACACTATTCTATACAAATGGTGTTATTTGTCATTATTCACTATTATATGGGCTGAATAAATAAAAACGCGTTATTTTTTGCAAATGAATTACGATTGCGTAGGAATTGGTTTTTTAAAAAATGTTTACATTCTTCATCTTTATAGCATTATGGGAAATCTGGTCCGGATTTATAATTTTTTAAGGCCCGGTTCAGACTTTAAAATATTTCGGCCATTACCGCTCTGGATGGGTCTGCATAAAAATTGTAAAAAGATGACGAAAATAGAACATAAAAATTAAATAGACGTTGCTAAAAGGTAGAAATAAAATTTTTAAGAAAAGTACATTTCTTTTTTTTGTAGGAAACTTTTCCTTTTCATGTGCTTTTTTGATTGACACTTTTCCTTTTTTGACCGAACTTTGTCTTAAGACTGAACTTTTTCCTTATTTTGATTGGATCATTCCCTCTTGATTGAATCCTTTTCTTTTTTGGATGGGAAATCCTGTAATAATGTATTTATTTGTTTGCTGTGACATTCGGCGTTTACATCTGTATTTGCACTAAATTAGAATTCATATTTTTAAAAACGAAAATATTTGCTTATGACAAGCCATTTCGGATATGATTTTAAAAAATTAATTAATTATTTTATTTAAAAAAAAGATTGGTGCAAATCACATAATAGATGCTTGTTTAGAGGAAGAAAGTTGCTCAATAGCTAGTCTTATATTTGCTATCATCCCGAATGGTAACATTTTGTTAACGAAGAAGCTTGGCAATGGCAGCTTAAATCCTACTAGCATAAAGCAGATGATCATAGTACAATATTAATATAATTATTTTTATTACTAGTTATGATCTAATGATTATATATATCATTCTATGATTTAAATAATTGTAGGTATTTATAATATATTTTAAAATTTTATGAGTTTTTGTTGTTTTAACCCTTCATTCTATTCTAATTATATTTTTTTCTAAAATTAAGTGTTACATTTAATAAATCATAAACTACACGTGAAAGAGCCTTGCATAGAGAAGCGAGTCGGGCAGGCCCGCCAATATAAAATTGGGCCGGGCTGCCAAGATATATCAGTTGCAGAACTCCAATATCCATTGTCAATTTAATTATATAATATTTTTGTTAAATTTTATTCGAGTAAAATGATTGGTCAATATTATTTTATATCGAAAAAATAAATAATCAAGTCGGCAAAAGATATCGGCATCGAACTTCATGAACGATTAACTACTCTGCTAAACAATAATACACAAAATATAAACGTCGACAGGGATAAACTAGCGAAATAATATTTTATTTATATGATACGTCATTTTATAATGCAAATTAAATTATATTTTAAAAAAAGTAATCACCAAAAAAATTCAAATAAAAAATTATTGTGATACAATGAGAAAAAAAAGATATGAATAATTTTAAACTATAATACGTTATACTCGGAAATCATGAATATAATAAATAAATTAGTTTTGAACTTTCGTTATAGCAGTATAACAGGGGAATGGAAATGATAAAGTTAAATGCAGTTTTCTTGTGTATAAAAAAATATGCTTCAGTTATAAAATGATGTCCCTAGTTTTATTTTAAAAAATATTATGATTAAATATAAAAATTATAATATAATACCTATTATAATGCCTCGAGTTAATTATTTGGATTAAAATAATTAAAAATATAAATATTGGAGATACATTTTAGTTTTTTTTAACTAACTTTAAAATACTAAATTTTCTGGTAATTTAGCTTGTTAAAAATAAATAATTATATACATTTTATTTATAAAAGATGGAAGTAATTTCCACCCTCAAAAATTTATTATGGTTTTAAAGATTTAAATGGAGGACAGTAAAAATGTTGATTTTACTTAGAATAGAATTAACTAGAATAATATTGCATCATTTTCGAATAAACTAAAGGCAGAAATCCGAATATTGGTTTTTTTTAAAAAGGAGAGTATATCTTCACCACATTTATTTTTTAAATACGTTTTTTTACCACGCATCGGTGTATCTTATATCACATTCTTGCAAGGCTGGTAATTTTTCCTGTTATAACATAATTTTTTATTTAATTAATGTATATTACAGATTTTAACTATGAGAAATCTAAAAAAATGATTTGTTAACCAGTTCATTGTTAAATAAAAAAAAGTTATACCTTTAATCCTTCAAATGTTTTAGCTGACAGACTAGTGCTGTTTAGATTGAGTTTCCTTAAATTTTTCATAGCTTTTAAAATATAAATAACATATTTAATATAAATAATTCATGATTTCATATATTTTTCTTAGTCTTTAATTGTTATATAGATCAATTATATATATTATATTTATAGCTAATATACAAATTTAGCTAACTCATTTTCTCAGATTTTTAGTACTATTTATCCTTAAGTATTATATTTTCTATTTTTGCTTATGTATACTGTTTCAACCCACTTTTGGTTTTTTTAAATGACTTTTTCTCTCGTTTTTATAAATTTTTTACCTCATTTTAAAGTATTTTATTATAAATATTTCTTAATTTAATCTGATTTCTCCGTCTTCAGTTATTTTTATAATTTTAACTAATCGCATTTTCCCCTAAATTTTTTTTGTAGTGACCTCAGATTTAATTCATTTTTTTTCATAAACTTTGTTTTGTAACTACTTTTTTAATTTACCAAAAGATAAATAAAAATTAAAATGGGTTAAAAGTAAGTAAAAATAGAAAAAACTCAGGAAAGATCTTATAAAAAAATTTTAAAAAAGTGGATGAAAAATCTGGAAAAAGTTGATTAATTAGCTTGTAAACCTAGCTAGTTTGTATATTAACTGTAACATATATACCGACTTGATCAACTATCCATTCTTTAAAAATACATAGGATAGGAGTCCGCTTAGGTTCAATTTTATGGCCTGCATAAATATAGATAATACTTTAACAAGATAAAACTTAATTATAGTAAGAAAAAAGACCTAACTATTATATCTTAAAGAAAAAAGACTTCCTTTGAAGCTAACGTAATTGGACTTGTGTTTTATTATATTTCATATATATTTTTTAAAAAATATTTGTAAATTCTAAACAAAAATCAAAGTGTAGATAAAAAAAATGGGATCTACAGCTGATTCTCATATATATATATTTGAAAAGATTTTAATGAGTGAATAGTCAATATAGTTGGTAGAATAGTATTTATATATCGTGATGGGAGGAATCAGTGGGGGTTCGGAATCTAAATTTTAATAATCTGATAGGACAAAAGATGTAATTCCAGCATGTATGAGTACCCAAATTAAATTTCAGATAATATTATGTGATTTTTTGAACTACTCGTAATTAATTATATATATATGTTGTATTACATATTAAATCAACCAAAAAAAGGTCGATTCTCAACCCGACCCCCTTCGATTTTTTTAAAAATTTGTATGATGGTAGTATATACATTAACTAGTAAAAATATAAAATTTTAATTCTCAACTCAGCTTACTTCATGAGATATGGCCATCTTGAGAAACGTGGAAATTCCAAAATACACTATATTTAATTTTAAATATCTCAAAAAGTAATTAAGCTAAAGACATGATTTAAATTTTATTAAATAGCTCTTTAATATGAGATAAGAAATATTTTTGTGAAAAAAAGTATATTACCAAAAACCGGAAATGGTTATAAAATAAAAATTGCTCTTTTTTTTTCTTTTAAATTTTTTTTACAGATAGACATTATATTTCTTAATATTTGTACAAAATCCTAGATTGGGACGAGTATTGGGCCAAAAATTATTACACTTTAAATATAAGTAGTATGGCTTAAATCCTATATTATACTAAATAAAATTAGTTTGGGATCCGGATATATTTTTTTATAAATCTTTCTGGCCTTGTTAGAAAAATTAGACCCTATGCAGATCACTAGTAGACATTGTGTCATATTTAGCACATAAGTTTAGCTATTTTATTTTAGAAGAAAAATAATTGTAAAAATATTTATAACTTTATTTAGCTAATTAATGGGAAATTAATATTTTAATAAACATATTAACGTTTGGCCATTAAAAATCTATTTTCAAGATTGATTTCCATTCTTAAATATTCTACGTTGCTAACAAATGTATATTTAATTCCCGGGATATTGATTCTCGCATAATTATATAAGTCAATAGGAGTTATTATAGGATTTTCATAAGGACGTTGCAAATTTGCTCTAGCCGCCAGCCTCTTAACAATTCCCCCTAAACTATCGCAAGGAGTTTTGCCATGTGCAGTTGCAAAAAAATGCCATTCTGCCTTGATCCCAAAATCATTATATATTCCCCATCCTTCAAATTCGATTTTAATGGCTTAAAAAATGAAGATTGTTCCGAGGAATTAAAATATTTAATTTTTCAATCAAATACTCCACAAATTCGTTGGCGGACTTTGTTAAAGTTTCGAGTGTAGTATAGTCAGCTGCCAACCATTGTTTAAATGTTATATATTTTGTGGCATTATTATCAAACAATAAGTGTAGTCTTTCTTTAAGTTCCAAAGTCCCGGGACACATTTGGCATTTCCTCAAGTAATAGCAAGGCTGGGGTGGATTGCATAGACTTCGTGCAATGTAATGTTTATAATCTTTTAAGGGAGGAAATGGAAAGTTATGCTGGTTTGCAGTTAACTTATCTAATTTACCACCAATTATAATTAGCTTAAAATTAATAGAAGGTAATGTGATAGGGATCGTAAAAGTAAAAGGTAAGATGGGATTTGTTGAATATTTTTTAAATTTTTTCCGGCAAGAACTTTGATTAATTGATAAGCTAGAATTCACTTGTATCATCTATTATAAAACACCTCTAAGATCGTAACGTACTGAATGAGATTTTATTCGAAATGGGTTGCAGCACTTTACAGGAATTGTAGACATTTAAAAAATAATTTTTTAAAATTAATAAATAAATTTAATTTTTTAGAAAAATGGCTATGTAAAATTAATCAATAAAAATGACGACTGTTGCTGTTGGAATTAATTTTGAATATTGACTTTATGCCAAATATAATTATTTTATTTTAATTAATTATAATTAGATTAAAATAATCTTTAAAATGAAAATATATTTCTGACGATCACAATAATAATTAATTGTCTGGCAATGAAAAATAAACTTCATCATTCACTCTCAGAGTTGCCAGGTCAAATCTCGAATTTAAGAAGAAATTTGGGACGAATATAATCTTTAGGTTGGGGTGAAGAGATTATTGAGCTCACTTTTTATTATCATAGTTGTTACTTTATTACCTTATACAAAATCTTAGTCCTCCAAATTGAGGCGTTTTGTGTTATATTTAAAATAATACAATACAATTTGGTGAATGTTGTTTTGAGTTTTTTAACATTTAAAAAATGCAAAATAAGATTTTTTTGGATTTTAGTTTTAATGCAATTATTCACATATATTGCCCACTTTTTTAAAAAATAATTACTCTATATTTGGTATAATATAGAATTTAAGCCATACTACTTATATTTAAAGTGTAATATCTATTGACCCAGTACTCGTCCCAATCTAGAATTTTGTACAGATATTAAGAAGTATAATGTCTATCTGTAAAAAAAATTTAAAAGAAAAAAAGAGCAATTTTTATTTTATAGCCATTTCCGGTTTTTGGTAATAGACTTTTTTTCACAAAAATATTTCTTATGTCATTAAAGAGCTATTTAATAAAATTTAAATCATGTCTTTAGCTTAATTACTTTGAAATATTTAAAATTAAATATAGTGTATTTTGGAATTTCCGCGTTTCTAAAGATGGCCATATCTCATGAAGTAAGCTGAGTTGAGAATTAAAATTTTATATATTTATTAGTTGGTGTATATACTACCATCATACAAATTTTTAAAAAAATCGAAGGGGGTCGGGTTGAATCTTCAGTTAATTTGATATGGAATAAAACATATATATATAACAAAAAATGTTTAAAAAATATACAAAAGTTCACGAATAGTTTCAAATTTACAGGGTAGGTACTCTATACGTGCTAGAATACATTTCATGGCGAATCAGATTTTTCAAATTTAGAAATCGTTCTCAGTATATGAATTAAAAATGAGATACGAATCCTCGCGGATTTCATATTCCGTAATGACATATATCATTGTATAAAGCAATAACTTCTCCCTATAATCTTTCAATAATAACGAAAAAATATATAATTTAACACTTACAAATCAAACAGGAGAGCCCCTTATCGGTAACGGGCGTCTCACATAAGTTGAGCACCTGTAGCCTGGGCAAATGTTCTGTTATAAGTTGTAGACCAGGATCCCCGAACTGGGTGGACCAAAGGTTTAAGTATTTTAGAGAAGGGAGTTTTATTAAATATTCGGCGCATTTGCTTGTTACGTGAGTGAAGGCTAAGCTCAAACATTCTAGATTACCGAAAGAACCTTGGGATAAAATCTTTTTAAGGTCCGTGTCGGTGGATTTGGCCGGAAGGGTTAAACGTTTGGGGCCGCCTTTTTGTTGCTTGAAAGTGAAAAAAAAATTCTATAAGATGACAGCTTTTTTTATAAATCGTTTCGCTTGCAAAATTAATTAATAGAAGTGGAATTAAGAACATTATAATAATATAGCAATATCTTACAGTTATTAATATGGCTAAAAATTGGATATTTATAAAGAACGACTTTGGATTACCAATTCTTTTAAAGCTGCTAATCTATCGCATAAATCCGCGTATAATTTTTTGCCCTTGTTAGTCGAATGCAATGTAGTCACTATTTGGAGTTTTAAATCGTGATTTTCTATGGTATCTAATTCCAACATCGAACATAATACCTTTATTTGGTTAGGCACAGATAATATGAATACTTTAATATAGAATAGAAATAAAAAGAATGTTATGAGTAGATTAAATGTAAATCAAATAGTTTGGTTAGGCGATATTTTTTTTAAATATTAGTTTAAAAATAGAACCTCCATGGCAATTTCTTGTTCCCTAAGAGCTAAAAGCATACATGGTCCTAACATTTTATTCATATGTGTCAAAAACTTTTTACGTTTGCAGCAGCATCGCATTAACGTGGTGAGCTTGTATAATAAATAAGATAATCTTTCATCGTAAATTATATTAATATAAATTTATAATGAAAGCAGGACTGGCACCTATACATAATTGATTTGTCTCAAGATCAAAAATAAGAGGGTCAATAAATTATTTTGTCAAAAAAAATTCTGTAAGTTGTGCTTGAGCCTAATTTTTATTTAAATCGGGCCAGGCTCAGGCTTTAATAGAAAAAATGTTCTATCTTCTCAGAGATTAGGATATATCAATTTATGATTTTTTCTTTATTTTACATTATAAAATAAAATGCGTTCAGTTCAATCCATATATTTTTTCCAATTAAAAATTTCAAAAATTAATAATAATTTCGGACCATAATTAGGAAAAATGATAGAGGTTCATGGTCCGACTAGTGATCTATATATAATCTTATGTTAAAAATCTAGACGGTCAAATACCATTTCGCAAAACAATTTTCCCTCGAAATAGTCCATCTCATTTTCGAAACCATTGGCAACAGCCACTCCATTAATTCCACTTAATCCATTATGGGCATTGAATCCGTTATGACCATTGTGATGCATCATATGATCATGGTTATCTGTATTATAGGCCAAGTCTTCCGAATTATTATTCAACATCAACTCAGAACGATCCAAATTTATGCTATTATCTCTACTAGTTTCAGGGTTAGTAATACTGTGGGTTTCATCCAATAAGATGTTGCTGCTAATGTGATGAGCCAGGGGCGAAACAAAAGTTTGATTGAAATCGTAATAATAAATGGAATTGGCGGGGCAGAATAAATGTAACCAACCTTCCTTGCCTTCCCTAACACCCAAGAGTGCTTGATGGACCTCGCAACGATTATCCTTGGCCAAGTTAGATATGACTTTCTCCATACGTTTCATAAAAAGTTCATGGCAGAGGGAACTTTTAAACATTTTGATAATTAATAAATTTATTGCAAAATAAGTAACAAAAACTTTATATACTTCTAATTAAATAATATAACTATAATATATTTGAAGGTAACAATTTTAAACATAAGGTTTATAATACTGATTTTGATTTCTTCTTTACTATAGACATTTGCCGTTTTAAGTTTCTAAAAAAAATTCTGTTACTAATCGGGGAACGGAATCGGTTGCAATAGACTGGATAAGAGAGGTCTCCAATCTTCATAGGTCGACATTACGTGTATCATAGCCAGATAGCACAGGAGTCTTCTGTCTATCTCAGTCCCCCTCAGATTACTAGCCCGTTTCTGATTTCTAATAATATTGTCAGTCTCGATTGTTTCTTCTTGGCCGTTTAGGCAATCTTGTTTGAGTCTTTTTAATTATATATAATGATAAATAAGACATTTATTGTAGCAATGTTAATAAATGGTCCGATTAAGATTTTAGCAATAAATATCATGTAATTCTGGAGATCTTGCTTATAGATGGCAGAAATTTTTTGACCTCTATTTGTTAAATCTCGAGGCTTACATAATATAATTTTGGCAAAAATCTTAATCGGGTCATTTTTAAAAATCAACCAAAATCGGGCTTTTTAATAAATTATAGGATTTTGAGAGAGTATAACCGAGATAAAGAGGCCAATCATCTTTGTAGGTTTTTACTTAATTAAGAAATAGAGATTATAAATTTTAACTCCCCGTAAAAAAAAGAATTAATATTCATAATATTGGCAAAATTATTACAATACAGAAACGAATTTGTGTTTAAAAAGATAAATGTTATGTTACAAACTTTAATTTTTCGTCGTAACATGAATATATACCGGATAAGATGACCGAAACTAAATTGGGTAATAAACCAGGATGAGGGCATATACTGGCGTGTCCATGCATACTTTAATGATAAAATAATTATTAAAATCAAGCAAAATTTTAATGTCTTTTTTTAGTAAACATTTAATTACTATTAAATATCGATTTTTCTAACAATTGTATTTTCTTTTAAAAAGGGAGACTCAATTTTTCAAGTAAAGATTTAGTTGTTTTATGCATAAAATTTAATATCTATCTTAGTATACTATATTGAAAAAAAGAATCATTAAAAGTTACGGGACTTGTATACAAGTTTGAAAATAAAATTATCATAAAATCATTCCCTTTTATTTTAAAATATATAAAATGTAGATGTGTAAAACTAAGTTGATAATATATGATATAGCTTGAATTTGTAAGATGAAAAAAAAATGACAATCTAACGTCTAGTTTTGTTCATTTAAGCGTTGTTAATTCGATGGTTCCCATAATAGATTAAATTAATCCTTCGATAATCTTATACAATTAATTATTTCCTTAAATCTTTTCCTAATTAACGCGATTGAAATAACAATTTAAATAGTGTAATAAAATTTTTATTAAGAACAACTTATAAAAACCTCATTTTCGCTACATATTTTTTATCTAGTTTAAAAGATGATGAAAAATCTCATAATTGAATAAACTTTAAATTTTTTTAAAAAAATTAACTTTTTGACAAGTTGTTCAACAACCTCGATACCGTTATTTTGTGAATTGAGTGCCTGAATATATTCCTGGACGAATATTCTCATTTTGGGATATTTACCAAAATCTTGAAGGTTGCAACACTTTATATTCAAATAATAAATAAATAATCAGTTTGAAATGCCCTTCAAAAGTTTTTTTTCGAGAATGCTCTCAAAGCAGGCTTAGTGATCAAATTTTACCTAAAATTCAAAATCATTTATAAGTAAATCTTTGATTATGAAGTCGCAAATTTTTAAAAATCTCATTTGGGCTGTGTCCAAAACATAAAACAAATTAAATTCAGAAATATTCGAAACTTTAATGAAAAAAAAGACGCTATTTTAGATATAAAAATAAAAACATGTCCAAAATATAATTCGAATTTTTTTTATAAATTTTAAAAATTTAGCGTACGATTTCATTAAAATTTTAAAATAGTTTTGAAACTTTTTCAATTTTTTTAAAATGTTTGGGCCTTAAAAAATTCTCAACTGTAAATAATCAAAGCCTTTTTATTACTTTGATATATTCAGACCGACTTTGGAGATGCATCGCGGGGACGGTCGCCATTTTAACCACACCCAAAAATTATAAATGGCATTCATAAATTAAAAAAATAAGTATATGAACATGATCCAAACTCAATTTCCGCCCAAAATTGAATTTTGATCTAACTTTTTATGATATGGGTTATTAAGGGACGTGATGCCACTTCTAATAAATGTTTGATAGTAACCCACTTCAATAATACGCGCGACCACTCTTTACTTAATTAAAATATATAGGATTTAAATTAGTAAATATTCAAAAGTATCGTCCTACTCTACCAAAATATCAACTATTTCCGCACACCAATTTCAATTGTAAAAGCTTACATTTTTACCCTTGGATGATGGAATTTTTATTATTGGGAGGACATTGTATGGCGCCCAAGCGTAGAATGGTACAACATGCAAGTTTATTCCGGTTTCATCTAAGAAATATAAGGTTTCGCCTGGGATATTTAAGATCTTTATACAGTAGATTTGCCGAATATTAATTACCCCAGGATTATTTCCTCTATCTGGCTCTTTGCCAGCTTTTTTTTAGACCAATCTATATTTTTGATATATTTACTAATCATTTAAGTTGGAAAAATTATCAGTATTAGTATTACTATTGGATAATAAAAATCTATATTAAGCATTTTTTTATTGCTTTAGAAAAATTTTATAAATATTTTAAAACATTTTTTTATTAATTAAATTTCCAACATAATTTCTTTTTATTATTTAAACATGACGTTTAATCTTAATTAATTCCCTTATTTAATTTCAATATGTGTTAAATTAAAATAAAATCTTACTTTTTATACCCCCTTTTATTATATATTTAATAATGACACTGGTTTCACTGTAATAAAATTCTGGCACAAATTTTGAGATATCGATTTCCATATAAACTCTTTTCTTATCCAAAGAATCCTTTGTTCAACATCGATGCTTTCTAAGCCCTAGGTTGAGTAAGCTCCATATCTTTTCAATAGGATTGAGATCTAGAGAATAGTAAATTACAATTCTTGCGATATGACAAAGAGTCATATCTTTCTGGAGTTGTTTTCCTCATGTCTTCAACTGAATTGATGGGATCAGTACTTCGCCGAGAATACCTTATAACAGCTTATTTAAAAAAAAATATATCCTAATCTTTTTGCATTCACGCAACCCCATACCATTATAAGAATGGAAGCTTTTGCCTGGGAATTTATGATTCAATTTCGTATCAAAACTTATATCAAAGTTTGATTCATTGTTGAATATTGTGTCCACCTTTTGCTCTTTTGTCCAATTTACTTATAAGCCCAATTTAATCTTTTATACTTTTGTAATGCTTTAAAACTGGTTTCTTCTTAGTCTATATAAATTAGCATGAAGTAAACAAAATTTCAAACTATTTTTTTCTGTCTTCATGAAAGAAATATTCTATTAAATTTATTCTTTTGATAAGATGATATGGAAACTTATTTCTCAATTGCAGAAATCTCACGAAATCATATTTTTGGAAAAGAGGCATGACGATTTTTAAAAACAATCTTTCTAGAATTCTATCCTCTTTTGGATTAGTAATCTTTAAACGTTGACTAAACTCAATTACCCCGGGATTTTATATTTAGGTCATATATCTTTACTTGTAGATTAACTTATGGCAAATAAGTTTGCTATATTTCTACCAAAATTTCCTCTCTTAGATGAATTAATAATATTCTCAAGAATTACAAGATAAAATTTTAAAAAGCCATAAATTGATTAAACTATATATAATTAAAAAACAAACGGATGATAGTTAATTTTTAAAGAAGAGAAATAAAAATTAACATGGGCGAACATTTTGGTGATTTTTAAGAGGTGAATATTTATGCACAAAGTGAGAATAATTAATATTGTTCTTATAATTTAAATAATATAATGCAAATAAAACTAATATAAGAAAATTTCGAAATTTTAAAAATGAAAAATATAAATTAAAAAATTAAGTAAATAAAGTTAAAGCCAATATTTTGGCGAAGATAAAGAAATTCTTAGGGATCACCGGAAAGGGCAGATATTTTTAAATCTAGTAACCGGAGTTTCCCAAAGTGGAGTTGACAACCGAAACGAAGTGCATATTGTAAATGAATGAATATTTATTCCTCTTTTTGTTTTAGGCACACCAGAAGCAAATTTGATGCATATTTTTAAAACAAGTCTATGCACATGTAATCCAATGCAAGTGGCCCATCTCCCATGATATTCGTGACAATCCATCGAATCTCTTACCGTTGGTTGTGCCGAAACAGTTCTAGGAAGCATGATATGTTTATTTTAAGGCCTTAGATATGATAGGATTGAACAGTATCTTACTAAAGAACTTTAATTGTTTTTAAACGGGATTAATTTTTTTGAATCAGAAAATTAATGAAAAAATAAAAATCAAGGGCGGCCGAATATCAATGAGGTAGGATAGTATTTAGATGTGTTTTTATAAAAAATAAGTGTTCATAATTAATAAATTGAATGGATGGCATCCCTAGCATCATTTATGCAAGCTAAAAAATATTTATTATTTAGGCAAAATTGATCGGGCAAAAACATTTTAGACGCATATCAAATTCAATGTAGGCGTACTGAATATGAGTACAATTAGGCCTTCTTCCTTCAAGATTATTAATAGTGATTTGCATCAGAAATAATTATTCAAGCCCGGTATGCCCCAAAAGTTGTCCGTCCGGACCTGATACCTAACGTTTTATTTGTCCCGAAAGAATAAAAATTATTTGCTCCCTCCCTCCCCGGCTCGAATTTGTCTAAATATAGAAATTAATATTTTTTTTCAATATAGTTTATCTTAAAATATATTTCTTTTATTTCAGAATTTAAGCCTGACCCAGCCGGAAATTTTAAAAAAATATTAGTGCCGAACCATTTTTTTTTTAAAATGGGCCCAGACTTACCTTTGCAGACTTCTAATCATCACTAACCCGGCATGTATTCTTCACTATATTTATCAGAGACCTGCAGAGTTTCCAATTGTCTGGTTCAGCCCGTATACTGCCCTGAGCATGCAAATCTCTGATATTTATACAATGTTTAAAAAATAGTTTGAAATATTCCGGGTTTTTAGCCCAAATCTCCGTGCGACGTCATCACTGAAAGAAAATAAATGAAGCAAAAGAGTATCGAAAATGATTTTGATAAATAAATACATGATAATATTTACCATGTTATGTTTGAGTATTCTTTGAACGACAGAAGTAAACATTTCGATTATTACGGTTGATCGGGGACTGTCTTTGCAATGCTGTATATACATTATATAGCAAAATATATAATTCTCTTTTTTTGTTATGAGTAATTTAGTGTTTGTGATATCCCATGATTTTGTAAACCGCCCAATTCAAATTAAAAACTAACAAACTTAAATGAAGGTATTTATATCTTATGAGGTATACAATTTTAATTAAGGCTATGTTTTTTAAAAAAAAAATCATTTACTTTGGTAAAAAAATCACATATTTCGGGGGATGGATGATTATTTTCCAACAAGGGAGCTAGAGCTGTGATAATATTTTCATGGATAGTTTTGGGTATACATTTATTCTGTTTAAATGTTAAACAAAAAATAGTAATAATTAATTACTAATGCAACATTAAATAATATTATGAATAAAAATAATCTCAATTAAATTTTAACGGAATAAATCAACTTAAAATATATCATAATTTTTAAAATCATGTGGCGAATATTTATTTATTAAAAAGTATATTTCCTATTTAGATCATAATATTGGTATAAATAAAATACTACCTTTCGAAAATTTTACGTTTTATATAAGAGTATTGTCGCTAATGTGATTCACTGACATAAATGTTCTCGACAAATGTACCTTGAACAAAAAGATACTGGATAAAAATACCCTAATTATGAAAAAAATTATAAGAGGAAACTTTTTAAATGACCATTTTTTTTAAACATTTAAATTTTTTCTAAAATTGTAATATTTTTGTCCCGGGTACTTTTGTCTAAGTCATTTATGTAGTGATTCACTCCTATTATTGGTTAACATACAATTTATTTTATCCTATAAAATGATATTTTCTTTATTGGGTATAAAAAAATTTAAGAAACGAAATATTTTAACAGAAAAAATTAATAAATGAACACAAAATAAAGAAGCGTGAATAAATAGTAAACATAATAGGTAATACGTTGTAAATGTAATATTATTTCAACAATAATAAAACTAAACTTTTTGCAATAGATCGGATATTAGTTCCAATGGAACTTGGTGAATTTCTTCATCCTGTAAAGGAATGCTCATGGCCATGTCTATCAAATGCTAAAAAATATTTAATATTAGCTAATAAAAAAAATGGAGGCTTTACTTAATCGATATTTGCTATCATCTTAAATAATTAATGCATAGTTCATTAATAATATTAAGGAAAAATATTTTTAAAACGTCTCATTTCAAAAAGAAAATTTTTATGAGTAGCCGATTTTTCTGTATATTCTACAGTTTTATTTCATTCAAATGTTCATAATATAAAAATCGAAAAAAATTATGTGCAAAAATTAGTTTAAAAGTGATTTTTTAGTGCCGTATAAGCATCACAAAAGTAACTTCATTACTCGTTACTTTTACCAAAAATCAGGTAACTGTGTTACTATTCAAAAATATTTTTTTAAAAGCCGTGTTGAGAGATAAACAATCATAAAAACTAAAAAACAAATTGCATAAAAAAATTCTGCCCAATTATTTATTTCTTTAAATTTTTGGCAAAATAAAAGGAAAACAATTTATTAAATCTTTTTCCATATAACGGTTTCCATGTTTTTATTATTTTTTTAATCAATGTAATGGAGTTACTTTAAAACAACGTTATATACTATTTTTGCAAAAACGGGAAATGTAGTGACGTTATTTGAGTAAATTTGAAAGCTTTATATTTTTTCAATTTGTCTTCAGTTGACTTATCGGATTAGTATAGAATAAAATTTTCTGCATAACCAACGGCGCAAAGACGCGTGCGCGTTGATATTAGGTTAGGGAGTCGTATTTTAAAAATTTTTATAATGCAAAAGATCTGTAATAAATAAACCTTAATTTCTCTAGTTAGAACTTCTGGCCGTGTGGTATTTTGAAGGATTTTGGTATATTTCAATACTTGTTTCTGGATAAAATAAATTTTATATTTCAGAGTTTATTTGATTCAATATTTTAAAAAAAATAAGTGTATTATATTCAATTTTAAATACTGATACTAATACTAAAATTTAACTGACCGATTTAATGCGTATAAATATGGGATACCTACATATCGTTTGATTGAATTATCATAAAACTTAAACTCGGAAGAAAGACTGTTCCTTATATAAAACTCATATTCATGTTAGGATTTATTAAAACATTTCGAAATTGTAAATCGTAAATGAAAATATTTTTGTATTTAAATTAATGATCTGCATCGGGCCTAATTTTCAAGCCCGGCCCGAAATTTTTTTTAAAAAAGTTTTGCCGGCTCGGTCTGAACCCGAAATTTTTAAAAAAAGTTTTGCCAGCCCGGCCCGAACCCAAAATTTTTTTTAAAAAAATTTACCGACTCGGCCCGGCCCGAATTTATTTAAATATAGAATTAATTTTTATAATTAGTCAAAATAAAAGACATATGTTATATGTCGTTTAGTTTCAATAAATAAAATAAAATATTTTTATTTTACATAAAAAATTCAATATAAAATTTATAAATTTAAATATATTTAAAAAAAATTCCAAAATCCGACCCGACCCGGTCCGAATTTTTTTTTAAATATTAGGCGCGGCCCAAACCCCGGGCCGGGCCTAACTTTGCAGATCTCTAATTTAAATATTCATCTGTATAAGTATCTAAAAACTGATAAAAGTATAATATGGATATAATTAGATATAATTAAATGGATTTGACTTATAATAAAAGACGTTTTTTTGGAAGGCAACCACTTTGTATATTTTCTCCCATTTGATGATTATACAAATATTAACTAAAATAAAAATGCTTAAAAACTTAAATAGAAATATGAAGGTGGCCATCTAAGAAAAGAGGTTGTCAAGGCCATTCGACTTTCATATGTGGCTGAAAATTGCAAAATTGTTGCTATAAAAGGATATGCCATAGGCTAGAGCACATAATATAGCTTATCGACAAATCAACTGAAATTCATAGGGCAGTGTTGATCACATTTTATAAACCGTGCTTAATAATTTTAAAGAAAAAATAACACATTGTAGACATATTAAGTCTAACAATAATAAATTATATTTTGTAAGTAAATTAAACTTTTCTATTATATCACAAATAGGAAAAAAAAGGACTATTTGGGGGAAATCTTTCAAATCAAATGAAATTATTTTATTTAGTTATATTGGTTCGGAAGATATGCGAGATATAATGCTTTGGCACATAAAAAAATACTCGAAAAATATAGAATATAAATTACTGTTTAGTTTCATTAGATAGCCCCTTAAAGCCCTCTATTTAAAAAAACTAAAATAAATTGACAGTGTTTTATTAATTCCGGAAAAAGTAAAGGTCAATTTTTTTTTGGCATTTACGATGTGTTCAAAATTTCCGTTTTTTTTATAATTATTAAAATAGGATTAAATTTATAAAATAAAATTTCGTTAAGGGAGAATTTGTTTTAGACTGGGATTGAAACCGTAACCGATTAACCACGCTTTTTAATTATTTGCATTGAACCCAAATCTAAAAATAAAAAACGGATTCGGTTCGGGTTAAATAAGTTTTTAAAATATTGTATTTTTAATCTTATTACCGCTTTGTTTATTGAAAGCGAACTCTTTTTTAATTATTTGCCTTGAACCCAAACCTAAAAAATGAAAGAACGGATACAGGCTCAATTAGTTTTAAAATATTATTTTTAATCTTATTAATACATTTTTAATTAAAAATTGCATTTCATTTTCATTTAAGTGATTTTAAAATTTTTTTACATCAATCACTCTTATTTCCTTCTTTGTCAGCTTATTTCCTATTATCACCTTTACTATAAAATTCAAACCCGTGATTGAAATATTTTAATTTATATTTTTTATAAGATATGTCTATAAGCTTATTTGAAATTATAAAATCAAAAAAAAATTACTTGATTTGATTACATTACATTTAAAATTTAACTTGTACTTTTAGGTATAGTAGTTTTCCTTTACATTATCCATTTAGTAGGTTCTTTATTAATCACCTTTTTTTATTTTAAATTGGGAAATCAAATCATAATTTGTTGAAGTTAACATTTCATTGGGTGATTTAAATTATATTATCACATTTAAATCACTATTTTTTTTTATTTTACATTAGAGAATCAAAATATAATTATATATTACATTTCACTTTTATTTTTGATGATTTATATTATCTTTATCTCATTAATTAAGATATAAATATTTATTCACATAGTAATTTTTATTACCATTTAAAATAATTTGATTAATTAGAAACTAAATTTACATTTTTTTAATAACATTATCAAACATTGATATTTCAGAATATGATAAGGGATACCAATCCTATACAAAAGTATTTTAAATACTACCCAGCAACAAATGTATCCAATTGTCTAAATACAAAAATGTAAAATAAAATTTAAGAAAAATCATTGCTCAAACTTAGAAAAACATTTGCAACGAAATCCTATAGCAGAGCATGACAAATACATAAAACTAAAAGCAAAAACACAAATACCAACAACATTATCCTCTCTGGCCACAAAATATTAGCCAGACGCAAATCCTAATACCATTGATAAATGTTTCCTATAAACTTCAGCTACAGTTAAAATTTCACAAAAGGAAATAATTGAAAGTAAAGTTGAAATGGTAACAATAAATGCAGCCATTTTAAATTAAAAATAACAGTTGGTTTAGAATACTTAAGGGAATAGGAAGAAAATTGGTACTTAATGATAATTTAATTATATAAGAAATGAAGTTCTTGAAACTGCTAGCAGAATACGAGATCAAATAAAAAATCAGGTCCGGGGAAGACATCATTCATGAAGATTGATAGTGTTACCAGATTCGATAGAACTATATTAGGAATAAATATATAACTTATTGAAAGAGGCAAGATTATTTTAAGAACTGCTATTAAGGGAAATATTTGAAAAATCTTCGGCGAGAATATAAATTTTTTTTATTAGAAGTGATGATACCAGGTTAATTAATAAAAAAAACTAAGAATACCTACTGTCTAAAGCTAATAAAAAGTTACAATTTATAATTAAATTGTGAATCTGCAGCTAATAAAATATCTTTTATATTCTTGCGTAAAGGTTTTTCAAATATTTTCCTAATTCTAATAGCTAAAGTTCTTAAGCCCTCCCCGGGTAGCTCATCCTTTTCCAAAACAAAGTTCAGAAAAATTTAAACTGTTAAAAAAGTATAATTTTTTTAAAAATTATTTTTATGTATATCATAAAAGTAAATAAATGGAATAAAATGAGATATCATTTATTCAATATTATTTAATTTTATTGGCGTTTGCCTTTTAGGACTCGCATGCTCTCCGGTTTTCCCTACAAGTTAAATTTTATAATGTTGTAATGTAATCAAATCTAATAATTTTTGACTTTCTAATTTCAAATAAACTTAAAGACATAGCTAAAAAAATATAATGTATGTATACATTTCAATCGCGGGTTTAAATTTTATAGTATAGGTGATTAATAAGAAATACAGGCTAATAAATTTGAAAAAAAATTTAAAATCCTTCAGGCATCTAAAAAGAAACATTAATTTTTAATTTAATAGGGTTATTTATTTTATCTATATTTTAATTATACTATATGATGCCATACAAAAAATTAATCAATAAATCGATTTTATTAGAATTTAATTATCAGTGACCCGTAGCGCTCAAAATTTCAGCCAACCATGAAAATAAAATATATAAAAAATTTCCGGCAAGGATTTTTTATATTTTTCGACCTACATTTATATTACTCATCCCCGGTCCGATTTATGAATAAAAATTATTTTAAAAAAGATTTGCGACACTTTCGATAATTTAAGCTGTATTTTATTATGATTTCAAAGGGAAATCATTGATATGAGACATGGTTTAAAATTGGATGTATCGAGGACTGACTTAACTAACGTGAATCGGCAAGTTCTCGATCTTGAAGTTAGAGGTCAGCGAACTAGAGGCAGGCTACGACTAACTTGAATTTCTCAAATCCGTGTGGAAATGTTGGATAAGAAAATTGTGATTGATATGGCCCAAAGTGGAGCCATATAGAAGGATAGGACGCGTTTTAAAGATCCCATAAGTTTTGGGATTAACACGATGAAGAAAAAGTTATTATTCTAATAGTGGAACCCGAATTTTTTAAATAAATCATTTTATGGTCGATTCCGTGGCAAAAAATATAACATTTTAAAAAATTGAGTCATTTTTTTTATTTCCGGACGAGGTTAGGCCTGATATTTAGGCCATTGATATTTAATAAAATCAATGTATTGAACAATATACATGGCACTATCTAATATGAATTATTTTATGGGTAAAAAAAATAGAACAAAATAAAATAACTTTTAAATGTCTTTTTATAGTAATTTTAGAAATTCCTGTACTAAAATAAATCCTTATCTTTTCCAGAAGTGATAAACCAATTTAGTTTATTTTAAAGCTTATGTTAAAGTTATAACACCAAATATTCTTCTCTATTATTTATATTTTTCGAGTAATCTTTACTTTTGTGTGCAGAATTGAGCAATTGCTTAACGCCCAAAGCTCCGGAACTAATAGAAATGAGCAATAAAATTTCGATTGCAATAATCTTCATTAACATACCTAACAATTGTAAAAATATATACTATTTGATTTAAAAGATGTCGCCCGAAACTATTTTGATTTTAGGTGGAATGATTCTTAGCTAAAACTGATCACGTCTAAAAAAATAAACGACTGTGTTTTCCTCTAGTACGTTTGGTCATGTTTAGATTTGTTTTGTTGAATTAAAAATTAGGGACAAATTATTTATTACGATTACAGAAAGAGATCTAAAATTTATTTCATCCCGACTCAAATTCTTTTTTAAAAAAAATTGTAATTTTCAATTTGGCTTTATTTTGTAAATTAAGGAAATTGAAAATATGAGCAGGAAGAATATCTATGCATGTTCAGTTACTTTGTTAGCTCTAATAATATTCAGACCAAATTTATTATCACTTTTCTTCGTGATAACCCTACATGTATAAAATATGCTGTAATTTTGTATACTTCGCCGCGAATTGGTGATAACCGTGAATGCAGGTTAATGCGGTAAGCATATACATCGTTATGGAGATATAATATGCTATCGTGTTTGCAAGAAATACAGAAAAAGATGTGCTCAAGAGTGGAATTAAAATGAAATGTTAGCTCAAAGAATTTTTAAAAAATTAGGTCGCTCTCAAAAAAAATCTCGATGCGTTTGAGCATATTATATCCTATTGCAAAGATGCCGCTGTCCTAAATTTATAAAGCAATTATATTCATTAATTTTAGAGGTTATTAAATATCGATTTCATAATTATATACTTATTTATTAAAAATTATCAGGGACACTAGAATAGAAGCATAATAATAATAATTTTTTTATAAGGTATTATTTACTTTTTCTTCCCTGTGTTAGTGTTCCTCTAGGAAGATGTAATGTATACATTATATTTTGAATGTTAGTTTATAAAATGAGATTAGTTTGCTCTTAAAGCCATAAAATTAATTAATTATAGGTATTTTTGGTAATCAATTAATCGTTATTAATTTCGATTAAAATTTTGATCGCGTATAATAAAAATAAATAAGGATACTTACTTTCCATTGTAGTGAATATAACCATTGGTCCCTTAGATGAGAATTGTTTACCTATATAAAAAAATTGATATATTTATTTTGGTAAGATATTGGTAGCATAAATATTGGTATAATTATTTTAAGATTTTAAAAAAGGTGTTACACATATCAATTTTTGGTTATATTAAAAAAAATGTGTCGCGATAATTTAACGCACCTGTTTATTTTCAATTCTAAAGGATTACTTAATAAAACTAAACTCCAAATTTATAGAAAATTATAAGTTAAAAAAAACTATTAACCACTTTAAATATAGTAAATATTTTCGCATAAGTTGTTTAATTTTGGAACTCGTGGACTAGAATCTTTGACCGAAAGGCAAGCGTTTGAAATAATTGGTATAATCCATTTTTTTTTATTAATTAAAAAAAATATTTTCATTGATCATTCACTAAATTAGAGAAAAGTTTTATTATCAACAAATTATAATATACATAAATCATAGGGTGTGGTTAAATGAGCCAATTTTTTAAAAAGGAATAAATCAACATTTTAACCAGAAAAATATTGCCTAAAGCCTCGAGATTTCGCTAATAGATGTCTAAACCTTTGTGCCATCTATGAACAAAATCTTCAGGCTTGCCATTTTCTAAATAAAATATTAAGTTCGTTGTTTTTAAAAATTGGCTCAAATCGAGCAGTTTAACAATACAAATCTAGGGACCAAAAAATAGTGTTGTAATTATGGAGGAGGCAAGTTTCGCTGTGCCCAGATATTGCATTATGGCCTCAGTTCGACTTATGCATATACTGATAAATATATATGGACTTGCAAGAGAAAAAAGCGCAGTGAAATCTGTCAGAAGATATTTTCCCCTTGTCAGATTTATTTAGGAATAATTTGAAAAATTTTAAGAATAATTTAATCTGTTAAAAAAAATGATTTTTTTTTGTTCAAAAAAATTTATTTGCAGTTTTCGTGATAAAAAATAATATAATTATAAACTCATTAATTATTTTAAAAGCTTTTCCTTTCTTTGATTTAATTTTTTCCCCTCATTATGTTAAAGCGGAAAGGATAAAATTCTTTGTCCCTTGAGGATTTAGCCTCTGACAGATTTCACTGTATTAAATAAATGAATCTGCTAATAAATAAAACATATTAATAAATAATCGGAATTTCAAAAAGACCATTATGATGATAATAGTAAGATAAGATTCTGAGATAGCAAAAATGGTCGTTAATTTTTGGTGCGACCCATAATTTTAAGTCTTAATCTTGTGGAAAAAAAATTAAACGGGTGATTTATTCCCATTGAAAGTTCTAACAATCTAAATCTAATCGAGTTAAGTACAACGGTTCGTTCTCAGCGATCTTTTTCATATTGTCTTTAATCAGGACTGGTGCTTTAGTAGCAGTTCGGTCCAAATCGGTTATTTTTTAAATATTTTAATTAACTTATTAAATGGTAATATATTGACCGCAGCAACGTTTAGAGAAATAAAAATCATTATTATTTATATTTTATCATTTCTTTTCTAGGAAAGTTTTCATTTATAAATTCTCCCATAAAACTTAAAAGTTTATCAAGAGAACACTATATTAAATCCTAAACAAGCAATATCTATCTATCTCCAGTTACCAAATATTTCTTAAATCATGGGCTCTTATCCCCAAAAAGAAAACTTTCTAATATGATAATGGATATCAGGCTATCTAGTGGTTGAACTCTTGGCTACGAAGCATCTTTATGAACAAGGATATTAGCATTTAAGAATTAATCATCTATAACAATTATTTTATCATGTATATAAGAAATAAGAAATAAAATTATAAGCCCAAAAAACCGGCAGTCTGCGGTGCTATTAGGGTTTAAAGGTTATTTGGTCCGGACTTGGCTGCGAGCTTTGGTTCGAATCACTCCGCAGTGCAACCCGAGTTTTTAAGGTTATTTGGTCCGGACCAGGCTGCGAGTTTTTGTCTGAATCAAATACAGATGGTGATCTTCACCAATCTAAGCTTCAAACTTTTTATAAACAAAATTTGTTAAGGCACTAGAATATTATTTTATTTTGTCATGCAGTATTGATAAAATATTGTATAACTGAGCTTGGGTCTTTCTACGTGAATACAGAATAGTTTTGGCCATGCAATAAAATTTTATTGCTCAATGGCTTTATTAGTGTCAGATTAAAGCATAAAAATGACGCGTTGCTCAATTTTTTTTTAACTACATGTAAAAATAAATATTACTCGAAAATTATAAATGGCAGAAATATATATTTGATATCATAAGATAGCCCTTAAAATCTTTAATTCGAGAAAAAAAACTCGAAAAATTTTATATCGGTGTTTAATCACTTCCGGAAAAGGAAAAAGTCGATTTTTTTTTAATAATGCCGATGCGTTCTAATTTCATGAAATATTGCATATATTCATTAAAATAAGATAAAAGTTATGTTAAAAATTTTGTTGGGGTTTTTCAAATTTTTATCAATAAAATAGTTTATTCTAGATGGCGCTACCAAAAAAATTGATCAATAAATCAATTTTATTATAATTTTAATATCAGTGACCTGCAGCGCCCTATTTCCAAACCGAGCCTGGACTAAAATTAATAAAAATTCTGGCTAAATTTTTTAAATATCATATCACTTTACTCGGAATATCGGTCATCGAGCGGATTGTAAAGTGGAAAACAATCATGGTTCGTCCAAATAAAAATAAATTTTAATTCCGGTGTAACGTGTGAAAGTGATTACCGTGAGATTTCGAATTCTCACACCATCAAAATCTCACGGCTGACACCGTGTGAAAGTGATTTCATGAGATTTTGATTTTTATCGCTTCAAATACATTGGGGGCCATTTAAATCATCAAAATCTCACGGCTATTCAATATTTCAAAATCTCATGATTTTTTCAAAATCTCATAGATATTTTTAAAATCTCGCATTATTAATTTAAATATACTTTTAAAACGTCAGATTTGAATGAGGCTGTCAAATTAGAAATATTTCTATATAATACAATTTAATTTGAAATTCTTTTTTATTATGAAGTAAATTTTTAACAATATATTATTTATTTCAGAAATATTTTAGCTCAAATTATAATGATATATATGACTTCCTAAATAGAAAATCAATTATTCTATGGGGAAAGTAAATTTTAGATATGTCATGATTAATTTATTAAAATTAGCCATTATAAGTTTAATGCAATATATTATTTTTTAACATTGAAAAATGCTCAGGCCATTGATTATTATCTTTTTTTCATCTAAAATTAATTATAGCTGCAAATGTAAGTGTGTATATATATATATATGTAAGAACATTTGATAAAATTTTACATATAGGCATTATTAAATGCTATTTTACAACTAAAATTTAATTTAGTTTATCACATAAAGATGAAAAGTAAATGTTAGATACTTTTATTATAATGTATATTGGGCTTATAAATGATTGCATAATTAATTTATTAAAGTTAGGTATTATAATATATACAACTAAAATTGTATGACAAAATTAAGTGCAGTTTATTATTCTAGCCATTGATTATATATATTTTTTCTGCATCACAAATATTATAATATATATAATTTAATGATATTTTAGAAGAAAGAAAAGTTATACTGACAGGAGATGAACAAAAAAAAATAATTAAAACAATACATGAGGGGGGTGTATCTACAGTTGCAGGTATTGCTATGGGAGGGCATCTGGGGATTAAAACTAATCAAATAATAGCTAAAAGTAAAAATTTGCAATATTCTTTTAATTATTTTTTTTAAGCTTTTATTGGTTGGGGAGCAATAAAAGTGTTTTATCAAATCCTGTGAGGCTTGTCAAAAATCAAGCAGTCGTTTTGATAAAACCTCAAATGTTTTACATATATTTGATTTATTTTTTAATTTATTACATATACAGAATTGGATGATGATATTTTGATAATAAATAAATTAGAAAATATCCCTAGATATTTTTTTCCTACAACAAAGGTATGGAAAAAATATCATGCTAAAATATATGGTCTAAAGCCTCCCAAACATTGTCGGGATGTAGAATGTAGACTATGGGAAACTGGTGAACCCACCATCCTGGTGCAAATTGAAGGTGATGGGAATATTTTTTATAGGTAAAACATATTAATATAAAATTTCATTTTATTCTACTTTATATAATTTAGGGCGATTAGTGTAGAGCTTACTGGAGCTCAAAATTCCCATGTTATTCTCAGGCAATGGTTGTCACAATTTACGCTAACATCCGAGATGGGAAAGGTAATTAAAAATTATCTTTACGACACGAACAAAAAAATAGACATAAAAACTTATGTCTTAAATAATGTAATGATACAGCAGATATGGGCTTCTGACACAGAAGTAAGGGGGATGGCCACAATGTTAAATACAGCTATTTTTACTTATATAAAATATAATGATAATTTTGTATGGGCCCGATATGACCCATTTTATATTCACGACAATATTAAAATATTTAATAATAATTTTATTTATATAAAAAATGGGGAGAGTCATTTTGAAAATGTTTTAGATTGTGATTTATCTTCCATCTAATTACTATTTATTATTTTTATTAAAAACAATTTTTTATATAAAAATATATAAATATATTTCATTCATATTATAATTTATCGCCTTATATATATATTTTTTATGAAAGTTGTAGTTTATAAATAATATTCAATTACATTCTGATATGCAATATATGATAATAATTATAGTTTTCCATGATGTTTTTATTAAATTTAAAATTATGTATAAATATTTATATCAATAAAGTTCTTCGTCTATTTTCTTATACCAAATAAAGTTTTATCTAATATTTGTGACCCAATTCAGTACAAAATAATATAGAAATGGATTATCTTTAAAACATTATATTAGGTAAACAAAATAAGCATTACGATTAAGCCATTTAGGCTAAGAATTTATCTTACTGTTTCTTTGCAGTGATTTTTAGAGGGTTGGGTAGAAAAGGCGGTTTACCTCTAGTAAATTTTCTGTCATATATGAGCTTTGTCTAAATTAATATCTATCGAGAAGATGTACTTTGTATAAGAAATATCATGGGATCGGAGTATTTGGTTATTTTATAAATTTCATGTTGTGTAAAATAGCATGTTAGTAAGGATCTCTTCCCTACCTAAATATTGCTAAACTTTAATTATGATATTGATTGGAGCCTCCTATCAATAATCTGAACTAGAGGTCTGGATTGGGTGGTTTTTTTGCCCGTACTTAAAAAAAAATATTTTCAACATTGGGCGAGAGGGTTAAAAAATTTGGGAGAATTTGATATTTTTCAAGCGAAATGAGCAGAACAGTAAATAGTTTTTCATAATATTCCATATTATATGTTTAATTAAAAATACATTAAAATAAATAAAGAGCCAAACCAGTTATAAAATAATTTTAAAACAAAATATATATAAAAAAAATTATAAGTGAGAGCGAGGGCAAGTTAAATAAATCTTTTCGCTAAAAACCCACCCATTACAGACCTCTAATCTGCATATCTTATCACACACTATTTAGTATGATATGCAGACTAAAAATATAAATTTAAAACTATAGAGAGGCGGCGACTATTTAGATAAGATAGATAAAAAAAAACAATTATAATAAATTTACGCTACATAGATTTGAACCCGCATTTTGAGGATAGGTAATGTAAGTCTTACTAACTAGATTACCCACCACACCTTTTAATTTATAATTTTATTTGTTATATATAATCTACTTTTTAATTAAATTTATACATATCAAAAAGAGAAATTTTATTATATTGTTAACTTTAATGATGTTAAAATAAAGATGAGCTCTTGAAATGAAACAATATATATTTTACAAAGCATTACTAAAATATTATTTTAAAACATAGATTATAATTAAATAGTTAGGTGTGATACCATTATTGTCTCTATATTATATTTTATATCCTTAACTTTAATGATGTTCCTTGATTTTGCAACTCTCATTATTCGACTTAATGATCTTAAAAAAATAAAGATGAGTTCTTAAAATGAAACGATATATATCTTGCAAAGCATTATTAAAATATTATTCTAACATAGATTATAATTTAACAGTCAGGTTTTATACCATTATTGTCTCTATATTATATTATCATTTAAATTCATGTCATGAAAATTTTTGCTTTAGATTTATCGCTTCAAAAACATTGGGGGCCATTATCATCAAAATCTCACAACCCATCCGTGTGAAAGTGATTGCGTGAGATTTCGAAATCTCACAGATCACTTTCACACGTTACACCGGGTCGGAGGAAGAGAGATATTTTTAAATTTTTTAACTTGTTGAAAAATTAAACAATATATCATTCAAACCACTTCAGGTATTAATGATTGCCATTTGAAATCTTCATTAAATTCCGTTTAAATTACCGAAAATGTATAAAAAAAATCAAAATCGCTTAGGGCCGAATAATCCTGAAAACTCTATTAAAAAAGTATGAATCCAGGCCAGACTAAACCATAAAATTTGGAATGCTTTAGTTCAGTCATTTCTAATAAAATCGATTTATTGATTAATATTTTTGCACGGCGCCATCTAGAATAGACTATTTTATCGGCAAAAAATTTTTAAAGTAATATAACTCCCAAATTTTTACCCCATTAAATTTTTTGTGATAGCACAATGAAAATTTTGAGTATTTTAATTTTTTATAGAGGATTTTTAGTGCTATCTAATGACATCAAATATAGGTACCATTTATATTTTAAAGGCGATCTTCATTTACATCTTAAACGCTCTTGTCTCCAGAACTATTGTAATGATCCCCATAACATATCTAATAAATGGGCAAAATTTTACTTGATTTGATCTATATTTTCAAAATGGCCTTTTTTTATTCCGAATGACCTGCTTGCTAATATTATATCTTCAATAATTTTTTATCCACCAAACCTTATTAAAACCCGTCTAAGTTTATTACTATATTTTGGTGATTATCATGATATCTTATAAAATGATGGAGATAAATGTTTTATAGCTTTACTACTCTTATGATCTAGCAGTAGAAGCATTGGTAAGGGAATCTATTTTTAATCTTATTAATATCAAAACAAATTAACTTGTATAAGAATGCAAGCGTCTGGTATATTTATTTGAACGCAAAAACGTTGATTTGAATCCCATCTTGACATTATATGGATGTCTTCAATGATTGAGTACGGGATTGACGTCTCCATGAACCCAATATTCTTATTAAATAAATAAATATATCAGAATAATGGCGAAAAAAAATTTCATCATAGCATGTATAAATTTTGTTGATTAGTATTTCTTTAATAAATAATTTATATAGAAATAGGAAGGAAAAATAATCAAACAAATATTTTCCCAAATACAGTTTAATTGAAATATTTACAATTTTTATAATTATTGCTAATAATATTAAAAAACATATTTGTAATTCTGAAACAATGAATATAATATGAAATATTTTTTGATATTCAGACATATCGCCGATTTTCCTAATTCACTTCAAATTCTAAGCATATGCATTTAATAGTATAAACTTTTTAAAAAAATGTCTTGTTTTCTTTTATTTGCCATTCTAGGATGTGCCCAAAACATCAAAAAATTAAATTCACAAATTTTAGAACCTTTAATGAAAATAAATAAATAAATAAGTTATTTATAAAAATAAAAACATGTCCAAAATATAATTATAGTTGGGTAATGGCTAAATGTAGGCTAATTCGGCTCAATCTACTGACGCGTACCGAAGAAAATTCGTCAACATTAAGGCGTTTAAATTCATATTAGTTTCAAGTTTTCGGTCGGTTTATCCGATTTTTAGCTGGCTAAAAATTGGCTTAAAAGGCTAAAAAGTATAGTAATTACCCAACTATACGTAGAATATGAATAAATCTAATGCATTCATTTAAAATATGGGTACAAAACAGAACAAAAACATTTTATTATATAATCAAAACAAACAATATTCTTTAAAAAAAACTAATAAAGGATCTTCTGAAATTCAAGTAAAATTATACAAAAACCATTCCCCCCTCCCTCCCCAAATAGAAACGTAACACATTGCTCGACATTTAGTTTATTATACTAAACAAGATAAGGGCCAAAAATTAGTAGCCTATTTTTAAGAGGCTACTTTCCTTTAAAAGCCATTTATAAAATACAACAAAATGGCAAAATTTAAAAACCAGGATTGGGCCACAAATGACTAAATTTTTTAAATTTATAAACGGGCCGATAAATAAAAAAATAAAAGACCGAGTTAATCCCCCCACTCCCAAACTGAGCTTTAAAATGGATATTTATGAAGGTTCCTGCAATACAAAAATATTAGTAATGGGACCAAATATAGGGGAGAGGGTTAAGATAAGATGATGTTCATTGAATGGTCAAAATTAATTTTTTTTATTAACAAAATATATTGAAAAAAATAAAAACTAATTAAAGTTGCGGACTTTTGTAAATATATAATACGCATAGTAAAAAAAAAGAAACCAAAACTTTTTTTGTAATATGATGCTAGAATTTCAATTTAATGAGAGATAAAAAAAATATTTTTTCCCCAGATAGTAATCGCGTTATTTATTATCACTACAATTTATTGTAACAAGCATAAAATAGAATTCATAGTCGAAATCCATTTCTTGCTATAAGGAACAACAATTAGTTCATTTAAAATGATGAAAGGCGTGTGCTCAAAATAAACTTGCAGGCATAGAACATGGTTTTTATTGTCGTTAGTGAGAGACGATGCCATCGTTTTACTTATATTGCAACTTAAGCCTACCCCCCCCCCCCAAAAAAAAGATCATTTTCAAAATGTTAAGTCATTATCATTTATAATATGTTAAGTTAACAAGGGGAAACCTTTTCAAATAAAACATTTAAAATAAAAGTTATATCTCAATAGTTGGAGTAATGATTTATAACGTTGAACGTTATTTATTTTATGTGTGTTATATTAAAATAACAGATAGCGTCGTAATTTTATCCGTATATCCAAAAAAAATTGTCGCTTTTGAGTAACGTCTATGGTTCAAATGGTTGAATGCGTGCATCACTAATTCGTTAGTTCTGGGCTCGAATCCAGCAAGGTTTTATTCTGAAGCAAACTAAGTGGTCCTGCTATGGTGATGATATATAAAATATTAGAGCGGCCCCGTGATTCCGTTAATATATAATATGTCGGTCTTACTGCATTTTTAATAAAATTTGGTTGTAATTTCGAAACTTGTTATATGACGACCAACGCTTTATAGTATTATGAGTTGGAAGGGGGGGGGGGCAGTTTAAAGATAAACATCTTAAAATGGTGTCAACCCATAAATGGCGCGTCGCGTTGTTAGCTATCAATCATGGCCTGATTTCACTCTTTTGCTCCTCTTTAACTATTACAAATAGTTTTTTTAAAGGAAGAAATAAAACTTCGTGTCAGAATTTAGAGATAATAGTTAAAGAAATCGAACAGCACCGTGGCTTATTAAATTTAAAATTTTAAAGTTAGTTTATTATTTTTAAAAAATTTTATTAGTAAAAAATAAACACTATAAGATTTGAGAAAAATACTTCAAACAAACAAAATAAATAGCATGCAAATACATGCATTGTGAATATGTAAGTTATATATATAATATATAAAGATCTGCAAAGTTAGGCCCCGGGCTCGGGCCTAATTCTATTTTAAATAATCGGATCAATTTTATATTGAATTTTTTATGTAAAATAAAAATTTTTGATTTTATTTATTGAAACTAAACGACATATAACATATGTCTATTATTTTTAGTAATTATAAAAATTAATTTCTATATTTAAATAAATTCGGGCCGGGTCGGGCCGGTAAATTTTTTTAAAAAATATTTCGGGTTCGGGCCGGGCCGACAAAACTTTTTTAAAAAATATTTCGGGTTCGGGCCGGGCCGACAAAACTTTTTTAAAAAAAATTTCGGGCCGGGCCGGGCTTGAAAAATTAGGCCCGATGCAGATCACTAATATACATACATTAAGGCATATATAAGAAAATCGCACTCATTTAAACATCTTTTTGTTATTGTAGATATTATAAGTCGTAGGTTTTTCTGGAATATAGACTTGGATTACGAATCTTTATTTTAAATAATCTATGAAGGTTATTTTTAAATTGATTTTATCCGAAATGTATTCCATCATTGTGTTAGATATATCTAATATTTTTCAGACAATTTTGCCATGAACTTTTGTGTATTTTATAAATTACTAATGAAGTTCATGTTAAAATTGTTTAAAATTCATAATGTAGGTATACTCTATTACACATGCTGCAATACATTTCCGTTTAAAATCCTATTTATTCAAATTTAAAAAATCAACCTATTCAACTTATAACATTATATAAGTGATGTTCATTTAATATTATATATGAGTGTTTTTTTGCTGGACCTCACTTGATAAAGAATTAAATTCTATATCAAAATTATGATCTGGAAGACAGAGAAAATGTTGACTAGATCTTCTTTTATAGGTTTGGGTCAAATAAATGCAATTATAAATTAAATGGTAAAAATTATTGCTTATTATTAACTAGATTGGCATTGAAAGCGCCAAAAATTAGTAATCATAATTTAAAATAATAATAAGGATCTGGGAGAGAAAATTTTATGTATAGCATAAAAATATTATTCATATCCATAGGATTGGATTGTTATGCTATTTGGACAATAAAATACTTTAAATGTACATTAAAATAATATTTAAAACTATATATAGGCACTTCTACACCTCCTTCTTTCCCCCCAAGCCAATGATAATATTAACCCCCTACACTCCTGATGGAAATCTCAAAAAAGATAAATAGCAAATAAAAAAATGAAAATTAGCATATCAGGTTTTTCGGCCATTTAAATTGCCTGGCCAATACAAATTCTTTTTAGTATGGCCCGTGCAAATCTCTAATAAATAATGGTGGAAATAAAATTGAGGTAATTATACCCTGTATTGATTTTTTATCAGACTATGTAATTGATGTAAAAAAATTTTAAATATCGATTAATTTTAATATTTTATGTTATCACCTTTTAATTATGCAATTATGATAATAAGGAAAAGAAAGATATAACTTCAATATTCTTGTATTTATATTACATATGTCGTAAATTATAATAATAGGTTTTATAATCGTTCGGGAAGCCAACATTTTTGCATCCTTGGTTAAGATGTAAACCAAGTCATTTTACGCAGAATCTTAGTATTATATGGTTCTAAGTTAAGAAATACAAATGTATCCACACCCAAACACTTAATAAGCATTTTCGAAAACGAAGAAACAGTGTTATATTTATTTTCGATATACGATCAGGACTATTTAGTTAAGATGTAATAATCATAAATATCTAAAGAAATCATTTTTTGAGATTTATAGTAACATCTTCGCGAAAGATCTTGTCGAGGTCGAGAATTGTTTTATAATTTTATTAATTAATCTTGATATCCATGATATTTTGGGGCGGGATGAGGGTATGACAAAAGCAGTGAAGCGCACGAAGATATAAAGGGCGTCAAATTTATATTATTTTTGCAGAAGAATAAAATATTATAAATTAAATATATCTCGCGCAATACTACATAAAATATTTCTGATAGCTGTCAATATTTTTTTTTAAATTTTGTAATTCGATCTAAAAGGGGAATTTTCAGACGAAACGTATAAAAAGGGAAAATTACTTTAACCTTTAAAAATATTCTAATTCTTGTAAAGATATCTTCTTTACACTTATAGATTAAATAAGATATAAATTGCTTCTCAAGATTATCATTACCCTTTTTCGAAAACTATAGGCAGTCTAGTAAGATTGCTAAGAAAATAAATATCTTAGATAAAACTTCTAGCGAATGTAAATAATTTGGTGACGCTAAGACGAGATCGTATTGGGATATAGAATCCACGAGGAAGCTAAATAGATTTTAAATCGTGTACGAGTGCGATTTAAAAAAAATATTTACGATTTACCAGGAAATTTATCCCAGCATGTGTAGAATAGTACCTACCCTATTTGTACGAAAAATTCAAATGCAAAAATCACCATAAATTAAGAATAGTTCTAATGTTCACGGTATTGTTGTTAAACGGCTCGATTTTCAAAATCAACCCAATATTTTAGCCAAATATATTACGCAAGTCTGGAGATTTTGTTCATAGGTCGTAGGAAGGTTAGAACATCTATTAACAAATTCTCGAGACAAGTCG